TTAGTTTTATCACTTTTTTGACTCATCCCTGAAATTTCTCTTTGCCATGTTCCATGTTTACTGTCTTGCTGTCCAGGCTGACATACAGGTTGATGTCACCAGAGGCTTAATGCATCTTGTAAAATTTTATATACTTTATAAATACTTGAGTATTTATAGTTTTCAAAATTACTAGGAATTTACTTTTATTTGGTTTAAATTCCAGTTGGGAGAATTATTATCTGTTTCTTATCCTGCAGGAATATCCTAAGGGAAACAAATGCCATCAGTTTAGATCTGCAGCTAACCAAATGGAAATAGCAGAGAGTAGTTTCAGGAATACCCTCTGAATTTTCCAGTAGGGATGGTGTGGATTTAGGTTAGTGAAAACATCCATATTTTTGTCATGGTTTTTGCTCAGTGAATCAATGGTTTTCCCTTCTGTTGACTCTTGAAAGTCATGCCTTAGAGCATTTCCAGAGATTAGCAATCTTGTTCATGATAACAAGACTGTCAGTGCAATACTCCTTTCGATAAATCAAAGTTTTCTCAATATTGGCCTATTTTGCTTACACTGGTTATTTTTGGTTATTTGTGGTGATTATTCCCTTTTAATGCAAATCACTTATAGCCCCTCCTAGAAATGTTATTCTAAGTTTGTACTTCACAATATTGTGTTCCAAGTGAGGGAACATTTGCTTTTCTTCTGTGGTCCGGAATTTTGTTTTCAGTTGTTTTAAAAGACCATAAAAACACATAAGTCTAATGCTGCAGTAAGAATCTCTTCTGTTTTGTGACAGTGGTAAATAGTTCCAGAAACACACAGCAGTGTGCCTTGCAGAAAGATGTGTAAGACAGAATAAAATCTAGTTGTCTAAAATTTAGTTGTCTTGGTGCTACATAAAACACAGTTACAAAAAAATGATAGTAAGAAAAGTAAATCTTAGTTCTTCACTTCTATGTCCACATTAGCAAAAAAAGAAAGACAAAAGGAAAACAAAGATCTTTACAAAAAAAGTATTGCAATAGACATTGTCTGACTGGAATATCATGTTATAAAGGAGATTGTGGCATAGTTAAAAAATAGTTGCAAGTTGGAGTTTCTAAGGAGGTTTTTCTTCTGAAATGTTCTTTGACTTGATTTGATAGCCTTATTTTCTTCTCATCATAGGCCATTGTTTAGAAAAGTGCAGAATTTTAGGTGATCAAAGTGGGTTTGTCAGGAGTAAACTCAGATTCATTTGCACTTTTCTTTTTGTTGCCTTTTAGGGAAATCAACATTAAAAGAAGCAGAAAAACCTTTATAAGTGTTTAGTTAAAAGTCTTTTTGTTTATAAGAAGCAATAAAGTAGCTGCCAAATTCTTTACAAGTGCTTCAAATTATTATAGAAATCATACGTCGTGTTATAAAATGTCAGGGCTTTCACCATCCCAGTTTACAAATCATCAGCTGCTCACAGAAAGCACGTGCATAAACCCATATCTAGCCCAGCATAATAACAATATGCATTAAGTTATTGTACTAGGAAATGGCATTCCATATTACAGAACTTTAAATCTTCAAAGATGCTACAAAAGGCCCCAAACTGACAGCAGTTTGCAGCACTGATTTCAATTTCTTCTTGAAGGTGATTTTGTTTCACCTCTGAATCCTTGCACTCCTCTCTGATTCTCAGGTCATTTGGCACTGAGTGTCAACAAGCATTTTTATCATGATAGACCTGTATCATCTTAGAGATTCTTACCATAGTGCAGCCTTCTGAGAGAACAGTTATCTTTCCTGTGTCTGTGGCATTGTGTGATGTGCACAGCTCTTACTGTGGTGACAGAAAAGTTATTCCCAGCTGAATGTATAAAAGGAAAAATGAGAACAAGATGTGGCATTAATACCATGGTGTTTGTTAAAAGTTTTGGTGTATTTTTTTTCCCAGTACAGCATAAGGTGAAGGCAGAAAGGACCCTGGGAATCTACTGCAAAAGCTGACAGGGACCCTAAACCAGTTCTTCGGTTTAAAATGTAAAAACCTGAGGGTGAATATAACATGTGAAGATGGGAAAGTGAAGGAATTTTGTAAGGAAGGTGTTCTACATGAAACAGAACAACATTAGGCCAGTTCTATATGATTAACACAAAATTAATCCTGATTTACTGGCTGGGTTTTGATTTCTGTGTGATTTTTCAGCAGTCTTTGGGGCTGGGACACACCATCCTTGTTCTGAAGCCATTCTGAACATGGGACTCTTGCCTCTGTACTTTGCTTCCCTTTCACATATACCCTGTTCTGAGAGAGATGAACAGCTCCGGCTCTGTTCAGAAGTCAGTAGCTGAGGTTTTGGCGTGTGTCTGCATGTAGTGTGTGACCTACACATGTGCCTGTGACCTTGGTGCAGTCAGCAGAGCTATTCTGATTGAGCTGCAGCTGACAATCTGTAAACTGACCATAGTCATTAGCTTAAAGACTATCCCATTCCACTAGATTAGCAGATGTGTGACTTCCAGACCAGCTTTCTCAGTGTTTGAATACTAGGAAGCAGCAGAAATAATCTGATGTAATAGTTGGTAAAGTTAGCCTCCAAAATCCAAACTTGCCACAGGAAACATTTCTACCCTTTGCCCTCTTCTTTTTTAATGGAAAACTAAGCATCAGTTTCTGACAAATCACTTTGATTTCCTATGAAGAACATTACTGATTATCAGTCAGGGGACATAGAGGTAAAATGTGATTTATCCATCTTAGTTAGTATTGTTATTTATTCCCCTTAATCCAGCACATTTCTCCACATTTCTGCCCATAACTCACAGACAGATGCGAGGCTGGTGACAGACCTTGTGTAAAGGACTATTGTGAAATTGTATTATGGATGGGCCACCACTGTCCTTGTGGAATGCTTTACCATGGGGCTGTAATCCATGTTGCATAGCCGGTATTTGCTATTCACCTGGTCATTGCCAGGAGAATGGTCCTGAGGCTTGGAATCCTTTAGCAGTCATATGATGGGTGGGTTTTTTTTTTCATATTAATGATTTCCTGCAAAAACAATGAGAAGATCATGCCAGGAAACTAATAAATTGTTGAGCACTGCATGGTACATGCGTCTTCTAGCAAGGCAGTTGTGCTGTCTGGGTGCTGGGTTCAGTGGCAGTAGATGTTTCTGGTCTGTGTGGCCCTGAGACTCTTGGCATTGGGTCTTGAGACAGCTCCATGAATGTTGTTGCACTGCACCTTCATCCTTGACTGAACTCTGCACTGGAACAGTTTTGGTCTGGCAATCAGCATGAATTCTCCTGTTTATCAGACATGCCTGGATGGGGGCGGGGGGAATATTTTTCTTTCTTTTCTTTTTTTTATTATTTTAATTTTTAATTATTCCATGAGAAATGGCACTAATTGAACTTTTTTTCTGGAAGAACAAAGACTTTTATCTGAATCCAGACTAATGTGTTAAGTAAAAAAAAAACAAACAACAAACCAACGTGTAGGGGTTTCTGCTCATGATAAAACATGCAACTGTCTCAGGCCTCTAGCCACCCATACACATATTTTTATATATCCCAAAATAGCTGGTTTCCTGACAACAATTTCAGGACTGGTTAAGTATGAGGATTACACATTCTATTCTATGCAGTCATGTTCAAAATAAACCTGTATCAGTTCTGAATGAATGTGAGTTATCATGGCAACAGGCAATTTTGTACTGTAGACAGCAGTGTGTTACAGAACTCTATATAAACCTCTTATTTGTGCACCACAAACCCCACACATCTTTAAAGAGAGAGGCCAATAATAAAACAGCCAGTTGTTCTAATAATCCAACAGTACTGATGGGTGTTTATAATACATACGCTGCTTTCTGTTGCTCTCTATTTTATTGTGTGTGAGTGCTCACAGTATCCCCATTTTGGATGCATGTTCTAGTGACCTGTCTTGGAAAAAAAAAATCTTAAAGAGTAGATTCTTGAAAATACCCTAATTCCCTTTTTTTTTTTTGTGCAGCCTGAGTGAACAGCTCTTACAGCTGAATAATTCATAGCCCGAGGAGCATTCTTGAATTACTTTGCATTAGTCTAGGAAAGTGTGCCTGTTCTTTGCCTGGGTTTTTTGCCCCAGGAGAAGATTGGGAGAACAAAGGTTGTCAGTCTCCAAGCGAAGAGTTTGAGCTTATGGTCACTGCGATTGAGGCTTTGCCATTGTACTGCTGTTATCAACACAGCATAAAAATAAAATCAGATCATTTGACCATATGATTTGTACGTTCCTGTTGAACTCCAGGTGACCTTAATCTTCAGGGTCTTTTCAGAACTCCTGTGTTTCTTAAGATGAAATGCCTTCCTTAACATTAAGTGTTTCTTTGGATGCCGAAATGATGTCTGAGTGGCTTACTTATAGGGCTTTAATGGGAGGCATTGGGGCAGACAAGAAAAGATAGGTTTGAGTGATTGTGAAGACACATTGGATAACCAAATTTGTAACATCCATATGAAGTTTCACCATATAATTGTTAATTTTTATTTCTTGGTGAAACACTTTTTGCATTTTCTTTTGCCGTTTCAGTGTATGGCAGGATTGAAAAGGGAATATTTGCAATTATGCAAGTAAGTAGGGATTTCTGGATTAGTCAAAAATCATAAGTTTACACCAAGTAAGCTTTGCAGCTTCCTTGTGGGATTCAGCCAGTTGTTTGTGGATTTAGACTACATTTTTTTAAGTTAGCAAGACTTCTCCCTGTAAATGGAAGCTAACTGCAACCATAAATGGTTTTTGATGGTACAGAGTCACAATGAAAAGTTTTGACAGTTAAGAGACTAGAACTTCTGTTTACTTCTTAGCCTCACATTATAAAACGTTTGCTTTTCCGTCTAAGAATCGGTGCGCACAAACTAAGTCCGGTCTGCCTGCTGAGATCCTTGAGGACCAACTGAGGAACAACTATTTCCATTTTACAACTTCTTTTTTTTATTTGTTTGTTTTACAGTTGACTCTGAGCATCTTCATAACATTCTTCCTTTCTTGCCCATTTAGCATGTGACAGTAACCACTGGGGACCCCACTGCAGCAGCCGTTGCCAGTGCAAGAATGGGGCGCTGTGCAACCCCATCACGGGCGCCTGTCACTGCACCTCGGGGTTCAAGGGCTGGCGCTGTGAGGAGCGTTGCAACCCCGGGACCTATGGCAATGACTGCCACCAGAAATGCCAGTGCCAGAACGGAGCCACCTGCAACCACATTACCGGGGAATGCAGGTGTCCACCGGGATACACCGGAGCCTTGTAAGCAGCAGGTGCATTGTTTTGAGGGGCAAGTTTAAAGAGTTCTGGCGAGTGAAATTCAGTTTAGAAGTTTAGATTAACTTTTGTGCAGGGAAGCAAGTTTGAGCAAACCACATTACAGAGCACATCTGTATGTGTAACCAAGAAAAATCCCCTTGACTTGGGCTGCTCCTCCCCTGCTTGGAGCTTCTTAATGACCATTGTGAAAACAGTTTGGCTGCAAGTTTGGAAAATCACATTACAGAATCACAGAATCAACTAGGTTGGAAAAGATCTCTGAGATCATCAAGTCCAACCTTTGACCTAACACCACTTTGCCTACTGGACCATGGCACTGAGTGCCACATCCAGTCTTTTCTTAAACACCTTCATGGATGGTGACTCCACCACCTCCCTGGGCAGCCCATTCCAATGCCCAACCACTCCTTCTGTAAAGAACTTCTTCCTAATGTCCAAAAATTCTCCCCTGGCACAGTTTAAAACTGTGCTGTCTTGTCCTACCGCTGGTTGCCTGAGAGAAGAGATGGATACCTACCTGGCTACAACCTCCTTTCAGGTAGTTGTAGAGAGTTATATTGAAACATGGAGTTATTTAGTTTTGTCATTCCAGAACAGATCTTAAACTTCTGTCAGTAATGATGAATGAGCACCAAACTGTGTATAAAGAAGTAGCTTAAAAAGAAACAATTCCTAGATTGCTCCTTAGATTTGTTGCATGGGTGCTGTACAGTATTCAGTGTGCTTATCTTGGTGTTGTGCTGCTTTCTCCTTCACATTTTTTGCTGGGAAATTTAATGATAAGGTTAAAAATAGAGACAAACTGGAGCATGTGCTGAAGTAATGGTTGTCTCTGTTGTCTACCACCCCCTCCAAACTCTCCCATCACTCCAAACTCTCCGCAGCTGTGAGGATCTCTGTCCCCCCGGGAAGCACGGCCCACAGTGTGAGGAGAGGTGCCCGTGCCAGAATGGAGGCGTCTGTCACCACGTCACTGGGGAGTGCTCCTGCCCGCCAGGATGGATGGTAAAAACACTTCTGAAACCTGCACAACCCCCTACAACTTCCATACTTGTAGACTTCAGGCGGCATCAGAAGAGGCTAGCAAATGAGGATAGCAAATGCAGTCTGCTTGTAGCCAGGAGTAATGAGAAACATATTTTAGCATAAGGGACTGAAATAAAATACTTACAAAACCATCTGTTACTGAAAGTTCTCCGGTTCTGCACTGCCTCTAACTATATCAGATTCTGGGAAGCAAAAGACATGAACTGTGCTGTGACGAGGCAATATCGACTAGATCTTGCCCGGAAGTCATTAGCTTCTAGATGTAATTTTATGTTATAGTGAGGTGACACTATTTGTACATATTAACGGTGGGGTTTTTGCTTGTTTTCATATGTACAGTATGCATGGCAAAACCTCAAAACCTTTAGATATTGTGCTAAATGCTGGAGAGGAAATGAGACATCAGAACTTTGACATTGTCTTTAGACTTTCTACTCTTTTAGCAGAGGGTAGGGAAAGAAGACCTGACCTTGGAGCTGCAAGTAGCTTTCCCCACTATCAGGCTGCCAACTCTGAGTTGGCAAATAATGGATTTAGAAGGCAATCAAAGCACAAATAAATTCTTTAAATACATTTGCTAATAATATTGATCATGACTATTTGTTAATAATATTTTCTGTTTAAATGTTCATTTTGTGTGAAAATTCACATGTACTGATCTTTTAATTACCTTGTGATAATTGAGATATTATACTGAGATAACCTGTTTTTGACCAACTAGAGAGCACAGCTATAAAACAGGATCTCTGATTGTGAGTTTGAGTAGCACTATTCATCTGACTACCTAGCCTGGATTACTGCCATTTTTACATTTTATTCCATTTCATGTTAGAAGAATGAAATTATTGGTCATAGAATACAGATGTTTGCATAAATTCTTGAATCCCTTTATCTGCCTAAACACAGCTACTGAAAAATGAGATAGAACATGAAGCACTGAGGGAAATTTTATACTAGTGTCTGTCTTAACTAATAAATTACTGCTTAGCCCTTTGACTAATTTTCCATTCCAAGTAATTATTTAAGAATAATTTATAATTTTAGAATTTTCAGTTCTGTGAAACACAATTGTGTCACTATAACCTTTTTTGCTTTTCCTGTAAGGGAAGTTTCAAGTAGCCAGGTACAAATTCTGCAGTATTTTATGTTAGATGAGATACCTGCATGCCTTTTGTCTGATGAAATACCTGCAAATACATTTGAAACAGCTTCTTAAAAGTCTTAAGATTGGAGGTTCACCTCCATACCCAGGTGTAATTAATTCCAACAATTTAAAAAGCAGTGCAAGAATTCAAACCCCATTGAAGGGAGCAATCATCCTACCTAAACTTTTAGGATATGCTGCTTTAAGTGAATACAAACAGCTTTTCCTTTCATCAGAAAAAAAACCCAACTTATCATCAAGTAGTATAATTGGGGCATTACAGCAGTTACTGATTCCTACACCATTACACACTGGAGGGCATTCCAGTTATCTTGATATATACTGCTCCTGGTAAATAAACTGGGAAGAGCTTGACATCAATTAGTCTTAAATCTGTAAGTGTTTTCGCAGTTGCTTAGAGAGTGTGTTTTTCATGTGCTTTTACTTCCAAAATGGAAATCCTACAAGATTATTCCTCCAGCGCTGGAACATACCCCATGTTTAAAGCTGGAGAGAACTCTGGCATTTCCAAGATCAGTACTGGACAAGTAACACAAGATCTCCTGGGTCTTCCTTCATGACAATCCTTTCTTCTTTGTCTGTTCAAGCTGCAATCCCAAATCTAACCTTAAGATTTCTTTTCTGCACACACAGGGCATGGTCTGTGGTCAACCTTGTCCTGAGGGTCGTTATGGGAAGAACTGTTCCCAGGAGTGCCAGTGCCACAATGGAGGGACCTGTGACTCAGCCACAGGCCAATGCCACTGCAGCCCAGGTTACACAGGGGAAAGGTAAGGAAAACTCATTTTTGCCAGGCTGCTGAACCTGAAAGAGGCTCTGCTACAACAGGGAGAGTTAAGAACCTGGTAGAAAGAAGAGTGAAAGTATCTGTGATGGGATTAAAAGAGTTGATTTTGGTTATGAAATGTTTGCCGCGTCACTCAGCTGATGCTGGGTTGCAAGTTGAACATTTCTATGTGAAAGAGCCCTTCTGTGAGGGAACTGCTTGTTTTCAGTATTTTCCTGCTGTGGTCTGTGCTCTGGCAGTTCCTGTGGGTCTGCACTGGAGTGGGTTGCAGAATGGTGCAGTTTGGGCTGTGGTGAAGGGGTGAGGAGGGAATCTCGTGGTTTTGTGCAGATGTCTGGCAGTCATAGCAAGAAGGGAGGCTCATTCAATTCCTCTTCAAAATGAGCAAGCTGGAGAGTTGTCTCCTGAAATATTTAAATCAAATGAAATGAAACATTTATTTTCTGATTATTAAAAATCAGCTTTGGTAGATGGGAAAGAATATATTGAGACATCATTTTTGAAGGCAGTGGAAAGGGATGAAAGAACTGCTTTCTTGCATGTGTTTGAAACAGCACACAACTCAATTTTCTGAAGTCAGCAGCAGCTTGATCGCTGGAGTTAGTCCAGGGGATCTATGACAACAATTGTGGGTATTATAACCATATGCACTTCCCACACAAGTGTTCACAGGACATGGTTAGTGCTGTGCTAGACATAAGGGGAAAAAAACCCACCTCATGAAGAAGAGAAAGAGTTAGTCCAGAATCATTTGCATGCCAAAATTATATTTGCGTGTGTGAAAACACAGTGCAGAGGGTGGTAGATACATTTAAACACAGACGAGGCCACAGGGCAATCAAAGGAATATCCATATGAGTTTCTATCCACTGCACTACCCTGGAGTTTCTAAAAGTAATACATTTTTACTATTGTAATTGTAATCTGATTATCATCTGAAATGCCTTACTGTCTGCAGCATTTTGATCACTTTTGCATATCTGAACTCCCTCTTTTCCTGCCAAACAGGCTGTATTTGCAGTTCTTTTGCTTTCCAAGATACTCCAAGGGCAGGAATGGGTCAGTAGCAAGGTTGTAGACCAGGTTCTTATTTCATGTCAGTGAACTGGCAAGGGAGGGAACTGTTACAAGAAATGTGCGAGCAATGGCTGAGGTAGCATATACATACCAGCAGCGAGAAGATGTTTTTTAAAGTGCTAAGCTATTCTCCACTTCTGTTTGTGACTCCAGCAGTGGTTGTCTGAGATTTTGGTGTGGTGGTGACTCCTGGAATTTGGTCATATATCAAGAAAAAGAGGACTTATAGAGCATGTAACAGTTTCTATGTGATCCGAGTTAAGACAAAGGAATCTAGTTTAAACTACCTTTATAAATCTTCTGCCTAAGACTTTTTGATTGATACCTGTCCTCACCACAAAATGGAAAAGGGTCTTTCAGAAGCTGATGAAGATGCAGTTAAATAAAAAAAAATATATATTGCAAGGTTAAATTTCGTGTAATTTGGCTGGGATTCCTGATCGTCATTTGAAAAAAATTCTTTCACAGCTTTATTTGTTGAACTTCATTAGGAAATACTGAAACAGGGTTATTAGCTCTATTATTACACTATACTTGAGAAGAAAAAGAGATTTTATTGCTGACTTCAGTCAGGACAGAGTTACGAATGCCATGAAAATTCTGGCTATCAGTATCAGACTGAGACGAATACTGCAGAAGCATGAAATAAACATGTATGCCCCTTTTACTTCAGTCAGAGGGCTCTGCTAAGTTCTGTTACATTTTACAGTGCCTTGTATCATGGTCTTTGAAATTCTCATGTAATAAACCACCGATCATATGAAAAACTAAACCAAAAATAAAAACCCAAGTGTATAAGAAAAATAGAAAAAGAACACCAAGGAAATTCTTTTACAAGACTGGGGAAATGAGTAAGTTATAACCTGATAAAACCATTAATACTGTGCTGTATTATCAAGTAATATTTTTGTACAGTCTGTAACTTGACAAAACTTAAAGGTACATAAATTGCAGAAGATGATACCAACTCTTAAGTTCACGGCACATCTAAGGACGTTAATGTCGGCATGTTCTGGCCCTAAAGCTTTGGGATTTAGTTGTTTTGTCTTTTTGTTTGTGTCAGTATAATTCAGACTCTATAGGGTGCTTATATTGAAAAAAGTGGGCATTTTCCTTGACACATAAGCTATGAAATGTTGTCATCCTTGGCTCTGAGGCATGAACCTGTTGAGCTGAGAGGTCTGCTCTCATAAATACAGTGAAATATTTTAAATGCACTGAGTGGTGGAACCTTTAGTAATGCTGTAGTAGTACTGGCATTTACAACAATTCAGCTGTAAAATACAGAGAAGATAAACCTGAAAACATCAAACTCATAAGACATCTCTGAATGAAATTGCTATCCAGAAACTCATTACTTAATGAGTTGCAAGTTTTAGAAACAGGGTACTGAACATTTTCTTGTAGTGAGGACTACAAGGCTGGACAGCTAAAGATAAGACTGATCTTTAGGTTAAATAATGTCATTCATATGAAAGACATGAAAGAATTAAGTCTGTTAACTAAATTGTCTATCTTCTTAAAGCTATATGAATGAAAAAGTTCCTTCACACTTCAGGTCTGACTTAAGAGGGTTTGGTTTTGTTCTGGTTCCTAAATGTGGAGTGCAGTGGTCTGTGTATGAATGTTATGTCCTGTGTTGCAGAGAAGGGAGGCCTTTTCCAAAGGAATTTGCAGAGCCAATGTTTTTGAGCCTGTCTAGCTTAGCACCAAAGGCAACCAGAGATGGGCCCTTTTAAATATGAAGTTATATAAAGTATTTGACCCATATAAGAGATTCCTTATAAACCATATTTCCCTTAAAGCTCCAAAAGCTGTAGTTCATGGGAAACAAAACAAATTTTTGTTGTTTTTTTTTTTTCCCCACAGATGCCAAGATGAGTGTCCAGTGGGGACTTACGGAGTGCATTGCGCAGAGACCTGCAAGTGTGTGAATGGTGGGAACTGTTACCATATTAGTGGTGCCTGCCTCTGTGAACCAGGATACACTGGAGAGCACTGTGAAACAAGGCTTTGCCCTGAGGGAATTTATGGTCTCAAGTGTGATAAAAAGTGTCCTTGCCACATGCCCAATACCTGGAGGTAGGCTTTACACCCTTTAGCCTGCTGTCTTTTTCTACATAGAACATAGAAATCCTAATATAATCTGAAAATTAAAATTTCCTGATTTTTCTAGTACTTTCATGCAAATTGAAGACTAAGTTAAAGACTTGTAATAGTATTTGGTATTCTCTCACCACATCAAAAAAAGAAAATATCAACCCAGAAAAGCTTCTGAATTTTAGTCTTTGCATGTATATTTGATCGTAATATTCACGGCATTATTTGGTCTCTGAGCCATAAAATAAATATTAAGACAAAATGTGACCTTTATCTATATTTACCACCTCCATGAATGTATAGTGTTCTGAGTTGAGAAGCCTGGGCATTTCTCTCTCTCTCTCTCTCTCTAGAAGAATTGCTGTAGGTGACTGTTTTAATAAAAAGTTGCAGAGACTTACCAATTTTAAATCTGCATTTCAAAAATTCATTTATTGTCATTTTAGTGACTTTTCTACTAAGCAGATAAAATCTGTCCTTGGAAATCGAATGAAAATAATTTCCCAATTAGCTTACCTTTTGCTATTTCTCCTTATTCGGGCAGTAACGAGTCCTATTTTTTTGTGTTTCTTGTGTCTTTGTGGATTTCATAGTGTTTGAGCATAGTGTTATGAAAATGTAAAAAGTGATTATTTGGAGACAAAGTTTCAGCTGTGAGGGAGGAATGTCAGATGTCAGTTGAGGGGATCCAACATATTTATAGAACAATTCTGGACAGCTTTCTCTTGTTACAAAACAGTACTTCTGGTTAAATACTATGGTCATGGTGCATTTGCTTACACTTCATTGCATTACTATTTAACAGTACCTTAGAGAAGGTTTGTGAGCATAATCTAAATTTTTGCTGTTGAAAGTAGCTGTGAAAGGAATTTACATAAACTATTGAGTGTCACATAGAATGTTGCTGTACATTGATATAAGATGTACTTTTCCTCACAGATAAAATAAAAAACTTTAGTCAGAAGTTAGCAGTGATGTTAAATCACTCAGGCACATACATGGAAACAGCTACTCAGGCCTCTGTGAAAAATTACTTTGTGGATTGTCAGAGTTGATCAACACACCTTTTGTTGACAAACTATGTGTCAACAAACTGAATTCCTTTCCCCTTCCATTCATATGCTTTTACAGTTTTGTACTTGTGCTCTGTTTTTCCCAGGTAGCTGAAATATGTAAAAAAAAATACAGAGCTGTTTTGATGTAAAATCAAGCAATAATTATTTGGGCAACAAGAACAAATTGTGTTCAAGAACAAATGGCTCCCTAATGCTGACCCATCTAGCTTTCAAATTATGCCAGTAGACCAAATGCTACTGTATTATGAGTTATGGTTAAGCTGCTTTCCTGAAAATTTGTCTGCAGACTGTTGTGGTAGCCTTGTTTGACAGGAATGCATTGCACTGTATAGCATTTCTAGTATTACAGGGATTACTTCTGATTCATGTTCAACACAGCTGTTCGTTCATTTATACCACTGGAAGGCAGTTTGTGGTCGAATCAGATCACAAATGTTCACAAGTAAACTGCAGCATATGTCTGGTCTTTTTTTGAAAATTTTCCCTCCTGTGTGGCAAATCCAAAGCCATTTAACAGCCCTGAAGGTGCACAAGAGCATAATGATGTCTGAGAAAAACAAATATTTTCATTACTTCACAAGTGTATTTTACATATGTAAGTTCCTTCCCCTGGGTCAGGAAGTGACTAAAACCATCAAATAATAGGAATAAAAGGGCATCTGGGTAATGGTATAGAAGCCAAAGCTCTGTGGGGACACTTGAGGCTTTTCAGATTCTTTTTAGAAGCCAGTTGTATCTGGTTGTCTTCATCTCTCAGTCAGGGAGGAGACAACTCTTTAATCACATCAGGGAATATCCTCAACCCTTTCTTGCCTACCACAAGTACTACTTGGTCTGGCTGCAGCCAAAGGATCTTCATAGCACTAATCCATTTAGCAGCAATGTAGTTACCAGTAATCCCAAGGCACAAAAAAGGGATAGAATTCCTCCTGCAAATACCCTTTGTGTGTCTGTAGGTCTATGATTCTGTTCTAAGGGCCTTGAATAAAGGTTTTTTCATCTGGGTCTGATCACTAGTTTAGATATCCTCAAAGAGGAGCTGTTATTAAAGTCTTAGAGCTGTTATTAATATTCATAGATATGGAAATGAATTAAGGATTAATTAAAAAAGTATGCTTAGCTCTAAAAAATATTGCTGTAAAATATGTAGATGTAAGTTCCAGCATGTATGTGTCTAGCCATCTTCTTCACATGCTTGTTCATGTACAGATACAAAAACATTATAGTACAGCATAGTTCAAAAATGTATACATTTTTTATTACTGTTTTATGACTGAAAAAAATTGCATCAAAGCAGCTGTGCCAATAATTCATAATTTGCATTTTGGGTTGCCTAGGCTTATAGGGATTTTGCTGCTGCAATTGGTTGGTGGCAGCTTCTGGGTATGGAAGGCAAACCCATCCTTCCTCTTAGTCATATTATCAACCTTCATTAAACACTTTGTCAAGCATTAAAAATAGCTATACTTGAGAGATTTTAATCTGTTTGAGGGGCCCAGAGGACAGAAACAGATGACCCTCTTGTGCAAGGAGATTTTTCACAAATATTCTTCACTATTACATGTTTTGAAAGGACTGGAGCCTGTCTGTATGTCAACATTTTCACTGTTTTGTACAGGAATGCTCTTCTAGCATAAACCACTTTTAGGCTGGGTTTTGTCATGCCTTCACTCAAGCAAAACCTAAGGATCATTCAAGAAGTGTAAAAAAGGCAGAGTGTAGCAGCATATTTGTCAAGAATGTTTACAAAGGATATTGGTTACACCTGTGATACAGCATTTGCCCTGGTTTTAGATTGATCTCCAAGTAAATTTGAGATATGCCTGTTTTTTTTGTTTTGTGTTTTTTCTTGTAAGATCTTTCTGGTAATCTCCCACCACTGCTTCACACCTGCAGAGTGGGGTCATTCTGTATTACCAGCTAAAAAGGCACAGTTTAGCCTGTAATTAGGATTTATTCATGACATGAGCACTAATGGGGTTTATTGGTCTCATGCTTTTCTGACATACATAAGTAGAGTTGATTGCATTTTTATAGTGTGATACATGCTTAGTTCATGTAGTTTGGTTGTGTTCTTAAAGTAAAGATTAGGGCATTTTAATTTTGCATTTTTCCAATGGACTTGTATTTACAGGTACAAGAGCTTTTGGAAATTTTATATTGCATAAGGTACTGAAGAATTTGGTGAATATTGTAATAGTGAAACACCTATATAAATGATATGAAAATCACTAAGTTCATTTGAGTCTTTCAAATATATAATATCAACTACCCACAAGTATTTTTTTTGTCTCTGTACAGAGTAGGGTTGCATTTCCAGAAGGTGTGAACAAAAGACCAGGAATAAATATACTGGCAACATCTCTTTATTTCCCTATCTTAATATTTAAATCTTATTGCCAATTAAGCTAACTGCACAAGAACCCATCAAAAAGCTTCAGAAGTGGTTCAGTTTCCTACATCTAATTACAAATTACGGAGTACTAATTTCGGTGTCAATCAATACATGTGCAAATAGGCCTTGGTAACACTCAGTAGGGGGCTCAGAATATCAATGCCTCTGCTTCATACTCAGTGCTTCTACATGTGTGTGATTTCTCCATCCCCTGAGAGGAAAATAACCCAACAACAAACACCACTTCCATCTCAGAATATTATATGATTCTGTGAACACTGGGCTTTATGTCTTAAAATGACAGTAATGCTAAATTAATGTTATAAATATGGTCTAATTCATATCTCGGTGACTATTCAGTTGTGGATTGAAAGTTTTTTTCATTTTCCCTGCTCTATATTCTTCCACTGATAAGAAACATGGAAATTGGGGGCCCACAGAAAGTTAGGAATAGGAGATGTTAAATTATCTTGCTACATCTTCTGTGTCTTCAACAGTTCAGCATGTATTTCATATATGAATAGTTCCATTTCAACTTATTTCATGGCAGGTATGCTTATAACTGAACAAATAATCAGGACTGTTGAGTATGAACAGCATGAGTTTTGAGCCATTTCTTCATTCGTCATTTATCTGAAAGGACCGTTCCTCTCAATTTAATGTAAAGCAGCTTAATACTGTCAAAGGTATTTTAATATCTCCAGGACCTCCAAGTTTTTATGGTGTCATAGAGTATGAAGTAATATATAGAAAGCAGAATGCATGATGACATTCCAACCTTTATAATTCATGCTTTCCTTGATTAGCAATGTTGTCAGCTGGTTGTTTTCAGCAATGTTAAACTCTTATTTTTACAAGAGCAATCCTCAAATCCAAGAGCAATTGCAGCTAATATTGTTATTCTGCAACTTCCTCAAAGAATGTTCTTGTTATGTTGTAGCACTTAAAAGTGCAGTAGGTATGTCTTCAAACTTGCAAATGGTCAGAAAAATACTCAGTTTCAAATGCACCTCCACACACGAGGAGTCAGCAAGTCTTGCAAAATCAGGCTCTTGTCATGGATCATTTAATTTGTCTGGAGGAAGGCACTTCTTTTTTTTTTTTTTTCCAGCATACTTAAAGAAACTTTAATCAGTAGCAGACAAATATCTTTAAACAATCTTCCCATTGTAAATATAATGGACTTGAATAAGGCATTTCCTTTGGTGAGAGTTAAGCAAATGCTTTTTCTGCCAGAGCGCTACAGAGCACCCCATTGTGCCCACTCTTCCAGCATATATATCTTTGCACAGCTGATGATGTCCATTTGTTATGAGGCAACAGCTGCCTGACTGGCCCTTCAATGAAACTGCTGTTCCAGGTAGAGACAGCTGGTCTGCCACCAGGTATGGCCAAGAGAGGGGAGACACTCTCCAAAAGGTCATTGCTCTGATAGTATAGCTGACTTCTGCCCAGTTGTCCTCTTCCAACCTACAGTTTAAAGAAAAGAGCATTCTTGCTGCTCATGGGGTGCTGAGTTACTATTTTGTGTTGGATGTGCTGTTTTTCCGAGTGTCATATTTCTCAGACAATACACTGCTGAGTCTGTGCAGTGTTATGAAAATGATCTTGATAGTGTGAAAACCTAATAAATTGTTAGGAATTTAATGGTTTCATCACCTTAATATTCATAACTGTGGATATCTGCTTTATGGTAAAAACTGTGTTTCGGAGAGGTTTCTTTTCAAATAGATGTAGAAAAAAGATATGTCTTACTGTCTTCCCATGTCCTCCCAAAGTCTGTATGTTCCTTCCCATGTCTGTATGTTGTATGATATTTCTTAATTGTCATGCATTTATATATAAATACACAGAACCTTTCCTTGTGATTTGTGAGGTAAACCTCTGTGCAGAGCATGGCAAGATCCTTTATGCAACTTCCCTATAACAGCATTTTGTCCTCTGGAAAGAAAACAATATTTATGTCACGGTTAGTCCCAAACTATTTAACCTCTCATCTCTCCCTGGCAGCTGTCACCCCATGTCTGGGGAATGCTCCTGCAAGCCTGGCTGGTCTGGGCTCTACTGCAATGAGACATGTTCCCCGGGATTCTACGGCGAGTCGTGTCAGCAGATCTGCAGCTGCCAAAATGGTGCTGACTGCGACAGTGTGACTGGGAAATGCACCTGTGCCCCTGGATTTAAGGTAAATGTCTCACTTTCACTCCCCATTTTCAACTCCACTGCCTTTGGTTAAGTGATAAATTCTTCAAGAGGCCAGTGTGTCCTTTCTCCATCACAGTAAAAGAGAAGTAAGGATATTTAGGTACTACTGTATGTGTTGTAAGACCCTGAAAAGGCAAAATTTCGTATTGATTTTGAGTACTGAAATGAAGTCATTTTTAGAAAGTGATGTAATTTGTTTTATAGGATGTTGATAAGAGGGTGTGGTGTTGAGGTGTAAATAAGGAGAGGAATGATAGTTTCAGTTATTATCTTGTAGCACCAATTCCTCATGCTCCATCCACAGAAACTCTGGACAAAAACATTGGTTTTTATAGTTCAGCACAGATTATTCTTCAGCTTTTATGCACATTTGCTGTTACCTGTGCCTTGGATGCTATTCTAACATAGAAAACATTTTACAGTAATAACTGAGAACTTCAGCCAGATTAGTTCTTAAAAACTAATTATTTTCCATTAAACTGCTATCTTACTGTGTTTTGGTTTCATAAAGGGCTTCTTTATCACTGTCCATTGATCTAACCAAGTAATGTTACCTATAGGACTGAGCTCTCAAAACAAATCATAGAAAAATAATGCTTACTTAAAAAGGCTTGAAAAGCACGAAGGGCTCCCTGCCCCTTAAATTCAGAATAACTTGGTGACAGCCTCGGACATGCTTGGGCTGTATGTTTTCTGGCTTTCGTAGCACTTCTATCAGTCTAGATCCTTTATTAGTTGTATGGTCTGAGCCCCCTCAAATAGTTTTTAGACTCTTATTTTTTTATAATTCAGGGTGCTTCTTGTGGTAGTCCTTGTCTTCCGGGAACATATGGAGTAAACTGTTCGTCCATGTGCAACTGCAAAAATGAAGCCATCTGTTCACCAGTAGATGGTTCTTGTGCCTGCAAAGCAGGTAGGTGTCTCCTCAGATTAATCTTCCTTTTCTATAATCATAACATTAAATTGAATATTTGAAGTAGAGAAGAGGAAACTTGATAAAAAGCAGACCACCCTGAAGGCCTAAGCAGTAGATACTTTATGCTTCTGCTGCTCTGGGAGGGAAAACCAAGGAAAACATCTTCTGAGAGAAGCACTGTGGTCTGCTAGAAGGACTATGAGTGGGCCATTTATCTGATGTCAGCCTTCCTAACCAAAGTCATATGGAATCACAGAATCATAGAATGACTTGGGTTGGAAGGGACCTGAAAGAGTACATCTCTCATTCACTTCTGCTGTGAGAAAGAATTTCTCAAAATATCCAGTGTCCCTCAGCTGTGATATTGGATTGCCGAGAAGAGAGGGCAGGCTTTTGAATGCACCAAAGCAAATCCCATGCCCAGTAAACATTTTAGACCCCTCCTGTCTAAAAATGTTTTTCTAAAAACATTTAGATGGAGTTTGAGAGTGGAGAAGTGTGAGAGTTACCTAGACAAATAGCCACTAAATTTGTCAGGGACTAACGCTATTAAATCTATCGTGCAGCAAATGTAGAGCATATACTCTTGCCACAGACAGTGGAGCTAATTTAACCCTAATTTAATTTAAAGCAGCTACTGCAAAACAGCCAGGTCATGAGGAGAAAAAACATTCCTTTAGAGACGTAATCCTGTCTTCTTGTGCATCGTGCAGTTTTAGTCACAGTACGGTGAAAAAGGACAGCAAAAGTGAAATTAAACTAAACCTTGATACTTGTCATGTAAGCAAAAGAAATTTATAAATCTTGGAAAGACGTTTGAGAGAAAGTGTCTCAGTTTTCTAGCTGGTATAGTGTAACATTTTTTCCTGAAGTGACCCCTAAATTTGAAGTTATCAATGAAGCACAAAGCAGCCTGTTTTCAGTGCATGTGTTTTGCATAGCCTATTGATTAGGCTCAGTGCAGAATAATTTTTCCCTTCACTTACTGTAAACAATACAAAACTAGAAACTTGGCCTGTGTGACTGTAGCTCATAACATATGACTGCCTCACACTGTTTCTCTTGTATCCAATGGATGATCACATTTTAAAAAATCTATTCACATTTCATCTAGTGTGCAGTCTGTGAATTGTTGCTATCAGGCATAATCAATGGTGACTCCTGCATTTTAGACCCTTTTTTCATCACATTTTTTTTTTGTATTTGGAGAGAAGTACAGAAATCATCTGAAAGGACTTCTATGTATCTTGGAGAAATCCAATTTATGCAGTTCTTTTATGGTTTGTCTTTATTTAAGATTTCTGTTAAAACCATATCGCAGAACTCTCTGTATTGAACGCTTGTGGAACAATTATGAAAGCGGTAGCTTAAGTCTGGGGAAAATACTCCTAATTATGTTCAGGCTGTTCTCAGTGTAGTTTAGTGTTTCTCAGTGAAATTTCAAGGTGTCTTTATCTCTATTCCAGATCTTCCATCAATTGCTTTTGTATGTTGGCACCCATCTGCAAACATATGCTGTGCACAGATGTTACAAGGTGCCCTTGAACACCTTTGTCCAAACCTGGACAAGTCCTGAGCCAAAACTGCTGATACCACCTTGTAGTGAATGTTATCACAGTACTGCCCATCTCAGAGAGATGCCCCATGGCAGGCAGAGGGAAACATTCTGAGAGGAAAGGGGGAAAACCTGAATAATTTGTGACTATAATTCTTTTTTTTTGGCAGGTTGGCATGGTGTAGATTGCTCAGTAAACTGTCCCAGTGGTACATGGGGACTTGGCTGTAACTTAACCTGCCAGTGTCTTAATGGAGGGGCTTGCAATGCTCTGGATGGAACTTGTACCTGTGCCCCGGGCTGGAGAGGAGAAAAATGTGAACTCCCTTGCCAGGTAGTTAAATAATATCACCGAATTTTGCCCTGTAGGATAACTTTGGGTAGGGTAGGCCTTCTATCATTCTTTGGGGGTATGTCCCTAGGGAGCACATATGACTGCGTGCAGGATCAGGGTCATGCACCAACAATTCTTCTGGAAGAGCCATGCTGCACAATACACCAAAGAACACAAAAAAATGGCCACACAAAATGAACTTGCATTGATGAACACCTTTTCTGCTTTCAACACTTTAAAATCGGAACCCAAACTTTTCACTAGCTCCTTTGGAATTGATTGAAAAACACAGAACCAAATTTTTCTCTCTATCAGCATCAAATGCTATCAAATTGCTTCTGTTCAACTAGTTTAAGTAAAAATTACAAGACAAAAGAACAAAAAATATATTCCACGTCAAATAACATATTTCTAATTACATTTTCTTATGTCTATGTTACAGTATGAATAAAGAATTTTGATTGCCTCTCAGTCAGACATGAGAATCTACTTTTACTACCCAGTTCCATGACGGGTGCCTTTCTACTGGGGCTCTGATTTCTACTCTCTCCCAGACTCTGAGATATTAGAAATATCTGCAATATTAGAAATCATTGTGAGGACAAAGGCAAACTCCTTATCACTTCTGTCCCACTTCGTAGTTTGGGGAAGCCATGAAAACGTATAATTTCAAAAAATTTTAAATAGTAAAAATCAAAACGCATTGGTTTTACTGTATAACTGTTTGATTTCAATTACATTTCATGCACCCCCAAAAAAAAAAATTATGAAAAAGGAGGTTTTCCCGAGTCATTTCTTTTTAATGGTGGACTTCAGTTTTCCAGGAAATTTTTAACAAAATTAATTTTTAAAATAAACTTCTCTCTGCTCTCCTTTTCCCCTCCCTTGTAATTTGCTCACTTTTGCAATACTATCTGCACAGCAGGTTGTTGGTTTAGTAGAATTGTAAAGGAGCCACATGAACTGAACACACACCTTGTTAATTCCCTCCCATATCACATTGAAGCTTCTTTCAGTTTGGACGAGCTCTGCTGAGCAATAACATGATGGGAATAGCTGAAATAGAGTGTAAGATGGAAACCACACCTCTGTCTTGAATGAAAATTTGTGCCCTCAGAATCCTCAGAAGTGATTTTTGGGGCTTTGCTTTTGGTTTTAAGATGAAGCATAGCACACACTGATGTAGTGAGTAAAGCGGAAAACAAAATTGAATATATTCTGGAAAACTCATTAGAATACCACCTGTGTACATTCACGCAGTGTTTCCACTCTTCTAAAACAGCTTTGTTTATCACTTCGTGTCTGATTCTGAAGGATGATGATATCTCCCAAGCTCCATTAGCTCTTCTAAAACTGACATTTAAAAAAGACACATTGTTTCATAGCAGTTGCATTACTATGCCAAAGTTAGGCAAATAATGCTTAAAAGCAAATTTCTATATCAGATAATTTAGCATGCCCCTCCATCTGTGTCAAACAATGTCCATAAGCATTTACACATTTCAAGTGCATATTCTGCTTCAAAATTCCAGAGCAGGAGAATAAAGAGAAAACTAATTAAAATACATCCACTGTTGTCTGAAATGTTTTTCTTATCGGAGCAGAGACATTATTTAAATCAATGAATTTAAATTTGTTTAAATAACTTCAGAAAATTAATTTTACTCCCCAGATAGTTACTCAAGATATCACTGAAGTTTGGACTTCAGTCCAAGTACATAGCAGGCTAAATATACTGCTTTTCAACAACATATTTGAGGATTTCCTTTCATTCCAAATCTGATTATATGCAAAGGAAATGTGTAATCTTTTCTTTTTCTGTATATAAAAATGTACTGTTGAGATGAGCAAAAGGCTCCTTACGCTGAAGTAACATAAGATTTTGTTCAACTTTAGACTTGAAAGACTGGGAATTGAACAGCTGAATCCTGTGGCACTTAGTTGAAACATATGTATGAACATCAAAGAACAGCAGAGGAATTTTGTTATAGATTTTATTCAGATTTTAATGTGGCTGACACCAATTTTTAGCCTTGAATTTAAATGATTCATTTTTAAACCTGACATGTTTCTTTTCCTTTTTTGCCTTTGCTGTGGGTAACCCTGAAGCATCACCATAAATTATACTGGCTTTTTTCCATGTGTTTTTGATTTGGTTTTGACACTTTTTCTTCAAGATCAATTTGCTGTTGTACTTTGACTTTGTTTTGAGAATGCAGTATTAAAGATTCTGCTCCTCAGTTTCTCAGATTGATTTTGTATTAAATTACCCACAAACGTGTGTGCCAGCTTCTACAGAAGAAGCAGAAAAGGCTTCTAAATTCTAAATTCAAATGTTTAGATGTAGTCCCTTGAAAATCAGCTGTGCTTTTGACACAGCAGAATGCACCAAAAGGGGTGTTCAGCTTGTAACTTTAATCTCTCTTATTGGTTCAAAAAATGCCCCACAACCAGAGTATCTCTTTTTAGTGTAGTATATCTTGTAGTGCAGAAAGATTTTTAATCAAAAGAAAGTGATACAGTTTCCATTATTTATGCAATGAACATTACACTAAATATATATTGTAATCTAAGGTTTTACTACTCTTTTTTAAAATAATTGTGCCTTTATGTGGTATCTTTTTTGACCAATAGGTAGAGAGCTCAGGGTCTGAGGCAGAAAGGAGACTGAATTGCTTTAGTCTGGGATTTTTGAAGAGAGTATCATTCATTCTTTATCTTCCCCTCTTAAATGAAAGAACAAAAATGTAGGACGCTAAAATGTTCCAAAAAGCCAGAAGCATTTTATATTAAGAACAGATTACGGATTCAGGAGAGATCTGTCGTTGCTTTTCGAGGCAGGACTGACTGGAAATTTCTGGGTTGTTCTTTTTCTGTTGTCACAGGACGGCACATATGGCATAGATTGCGCTGAGCGCTGCGACTGCAGCCACGCAGATGGGTGTCACCCCACCACCGGGTACTGTCGCTGCCTCCCGGGATGGTCAGGTACAAAACACACCCCTGAAGACAAGGAGAGTTTCCACTCTGGTGGAACTTGGTCTTCTCTGTGGGCTTGGGGGTAAAGGAGGAGTATGTGGGACTGGGAGGGGAAAAGGGACAGTTCTGTGGCTGCTGTGTCCCTCCTGTGATTCACACATGTGGAAATTTTGTTGGGTGTCAGATCCACAGAAAACTGAGAATAGAAAGGGAAATCTTAAAACTTGGGCGCCTCCACAGTGTGATTCGTTATGAAAGTGGCAAATAACTGTAAATATTCCAGGTTGTGCTTTGAGCTTCGGGGTAAAGCATCACATCCAGCTTTCAATCAGCCAAAACGAGGGTAAATACTGCAGAAACCATATTGCCATTTCAGTTCCTGAAACTTTTGAAAACATGAAGTTTTCTCCGCACATATTTTGTTCTATATGAATATTTTCTCATTACGTTTTTTAGCATTGTGGTTTTAAGAACCATCCATATCTAGTTATTCCATGTAATTTATATTTGACACGGTTGTTGCACTCTCTTGTTTGTGGAAAGCAAGATTTTTTGAAAACATGATGAGACTGTGGAGGAGGGCATGTATCATGAAATGTTTCCTTTATCCCTAGGAGGTAGTTTTAGTTCTCAAATGGATTTCTAAGCTCTAAGGTTGGGAAAACTCTGTGATCTTCAATAGGGCTTAATTGACACTATAAGCTTGCCCTTGTTGAAATGTTCTAGACTTGGTGTCTCACTATGATGCTGTGGTGTTGCAGGGGTCAGGTTTCATGTCCCCTGTTTGTATGTCCTCTTTCCATTTTATAATGAGGAGTCAGCATGAAAAACACACCTTAAATGAACAAAGTATGTGAGTGCTGTGAAAAGAGAGGATTTTTATTTATTTATTTGTGTTTTCAGATATATACTAATATTATTTAGTGTCCGCTCTTTTAATATTTTTCCTAATTGACTTGCAGGTTCATCATATAATTGTTTTCTTTTTTCTGTGGTGCTTTCAGACAAAGTTAGGTGGAGATGAGCTTATGATTTCCTCAGATAGATACAGTCTTAGTTACTGGGTTTTTCTCCAAACCTTGATTTTTATACTCTTTTTTTTCCTAGCTCTGTAGATGGATCCCAAGCATCTTGTTTGAAGCGCATGTCTACAGTTCAGGTTGATTAGTTGTAGTTGATTACAGCTTACCTGCTGTTTTTTCTACTTTCTGTTCAGATGAATGTGACTTTTGTGATTACTGGGGGTGGGAAGTGGAAATCAGTAGGGGATATAGGCATGGGCATGCTTTGCTTTGGAAGACCAAACCCATCTATCATTTGTGCATTTTTTCTGTATATTGGTTCTTTGAGAAGGTCTCTCTCACCATCGTGTCTCACCCTTTTCAACATGAGAGACTTTCAGAGCCAGCACTCACCTCACTAAGACAAGACTTTGTTGGTTTTATTTTCTTCCCACAAGCTCCAGTGTGACTTAACATCAGCTACTCAGACATCTCAGGGAAATAACTACCACAGGAGTGCAAAAAATAGTAGAAGTTAACTGAGTGAATTATGAAAAAATACTATTAGCCTTATGCCATCCGTTGCTATTTCGTGTGACACTACATTGTGTTTATTTTGTTGTGATGTTAATGTCCTTACTTTCATGTAGTTTCAGGTTATTGTGTGTGTGTTTGGACACATTTCTGCAAACTTACACTTGAATCTGCTCAAAATATGATTTCATAAATTAGTAAAGGTATTAAACAAAGAATACCCACAGTAAAAACATTTTGATGATCTTGATCATGGTTTAGGCTGTTAAAGCTGTTCATGAGTTGCAGATGTGCAGCTTAAAGTAAATCCTGTGAGTTTTTAAAATGGAGACAAATCATCAGAGACAATAGGTATGTAATGAAAGGATCCAGGTTGTTTTAAAAGGCCATGCCAGAAAAGTAGCCATGTTTTACAACAGGTGATAAAAATTACTTAGCCAGCGTGATTTAACTAACCCAGGAGTATTTTTACCTTTAGTGAAATCTTATTTCATCTTCATGTTTACAAAGGAAAAAGACTTCACTAGAAAGAGACTTCAAGCGTAATTATTGATAAAAATTGAGTCTCCATCCCTGGATGATGTCATCAGAACACCATGTGTGACAGACTAGTTTTGACATGCTGATGATGTCTAGACATACTTTATAACATAAATGGCATATTTCGCTTTATACTCAGTGTCTGGAAAAATCCTCCTCCCACACTTCACGTGTCAGAGCAATACACACAAGGAGTCTGGTCTTTGTGTAGATACTTAGAATGAATAAAGAAAAGGAGAGAATATTTTAGGAAGGGGTTCTCAAATAGCTGTACTGTAATGTTGCATTGCAGAAACAGCAGTAGATCGTAGGATTAATAAGGGAGGTTGTACATATATTTCTATGCATAATAGGTGGAGAAGCAGATGGAGGATGTGTGGAAAATACAGGAAGTTTCTAAAATGCAAAAATTATGTTAGAGTAGCTTAGATTTTTTCCTAAGCATCAGACATACTAATTTTGGATGGGTAGTATTCCCTACAAAAAACCCAAACCAAACCAAGAAAACAAAAGAGAGGGAGAACCAGATTTTGGATAGGTGTAATGCTTATCTAACCCAAATGAAGGATTTAGTCTTTTAAAAACCATTGGGAAGGTAGTATTTAAAAAATGAATACATTTGAAGAAGCTTAAAAATGTGAACTTTTTTTTTTTTTTAAGCATGAATAAATCAACGAATCCAAGGCGAACTTTCCCAGATGTTTTGATGCCATCAAAATAATAAAACTTTCCAAAAAGGCCTTTTTAAATACAGTATTTTTCTCAGCTCTGTGAATGGAACAGTTGTCTACACTTTCCCCAGGGAATTTCATCAGAGGGAATAGTTTATATAACTTTGTAGAACTAAATGAAGGGAGGTTTTTCCCTTGCTGGATGACACAGTTGTCCCATAACACTGGGGAACAGGACATGTGCTGCATGAGGAGGGTGGATCACTGGCCTGGTGTTGTGAGGGCCTCCCTTGGGCTGTAAGGGAGCTCTGAGCTGCTGATGTGGGCACAGGGGCTTTACTTCAGGCTCCAGATACAGCTGCAACTCACCACTGGTGCAATAAAAAGATATTACATGGTTTAGTTTTTTAAGTAGGTGTTTTTTTTTTGTTTTTTTTTTTTTTATTTTGAACATGCCCATTGATTGTCTTTTGCTTCTTAGGTTCTACTGAGGAACAAAAGTTAAGTTTTTGACTATTGCATTGATATCAGCTGTTAAAAAAATCAATAAATAATTAAAATTGGCTTTAATTAGGTCTTTGTTTTTATTTAGGGTTTATAGTTTTAATGCAGGTTCTGTTGCCTAGGAAGATACTTAGGTTTTTCATCCTAAACAAAAATGACTTATTTCTAGGGCTACTGTAATAAATCTTATTCTCTCTGTAGTTTGCATTAAGTTTTCCCTGCACAGCAGCTTTAATTCTGCTTAGAAAAGCAGGAGTTAAGGGTGATTTCTTTTTCCTGGCAGTCTGACCATTCCATCACGTTCCAGGAGCCACATGACAGGATGGCACAAATGAGAAACATCCACCCACACAGAGGAGGATGTCTGACCCAAACGCTCTCATCCCTTGACATTTTCACTGTATCTTATAAATAACTTTTTTTCATTTGGAGGGAGTGCAATAGTGAGACAGTGGAAAGGAGTAAGAACCATTAAAACAGAAAGCAGAAGAAACAGATAGAAAATATAATCCCTCAATATATAATGATAATTTTCCTAATAATTTATGCAAAAATTTGAAGTTAAAGTCCATTAAAAAGCTACATCTACCACTTGTCTCAAGGAGAAAGCAAACCAACAGGCACCATGGTAACTTAAGTTTCATCTCTTAATCTTACCTGTTCTGCAAGCAGCTCTCAAAACACATTTTTCCCAAATTGCCTGAAAGATTTAAGAATTTGTATTCTTGCAAACTGACAGTTCACATTAAAGCATTAGTTAATTAAAATTAATTAAAGATAATTAAATTAATTAAAATGGCAAAAGGACTTTTTTTCTCCAGACTGTTTACTACTGCGATTACAATTACAATAATGTGGGTGTTACTGATGACACATCACTGTTGTGCTTTCTTGGGTGCAGTTCTGCCACACCTTCCCACTTGAGAAGAAATGTCATGTCATAGTGGTACATTTGTTATTTTTAAAATCGATTTAAAGGTTATCTGATGCCAGGGATTGTGAAATACCACTAGTCTATTATCTGTACCAAAACAATAGCATTGGTTTATGGAAAAGACAGATGCAGTAATACCAGCCTACATTTTACCATTCATCCACATGCAGATGGGGTGTTGGTGACTTTTTCTGTGCTGGACACCTGCTGACGTTAGTCAGACTGCCTATCACCAGATGTGCTGTTTCTGTGTCCTTCCATGTGCTTCTGACATTATTTCTAAGAGGCACATTTGTTGTGGGATTATAACAGGGAGGTCTCTGTCATCTGACACTGATGCAAATCACCAGGTCTGCTGAGAAGTGCAAGCTACAGCTCTCCCTTGCCCCTCAGCTTTCAAAGTGTTTGCACTTTTTCCCCTCCTAAAAAGAAGAAAAAAGGCATAAAGACCCATATCATGGGTCTTCCTCACCTTTAGGCCAAAAAACACGGTGCTGCTGGAACGACATTCATAGTGCTGGTACCCCAGTGCTGAGGCCCTCTTGCAAGAATGTGGTTTTTCCTCCACTTTGACCACCTGCCCCTGGTCTCCAGAAGCACAAGGTACCATTGGGATGGATGCTCAGTGTGCCACAAAATGAAATCATACGTGGGCACTGTGTCATGATAAATGGCATATTTACTTTCCAAACTTCAGGAGAGGAATTCTCCAATAAGAAGTTTGGCCCACCCTACATCTGGACTTCAGTGTGTCTGCACCTCTGTTGTCTGTGTGTTGTGGTGGATCTTTATGTGGAAGAAATACTCTTTCAGAAAAAAGAGCTTTAAATTGGTGATTAAGTATGTTTGTTTTCTAACTATCAAGTAGTTAAAAAATGGCAAGTATTATTTCCTTGTATCTACCTAAAGATTTGTAGTTGAAAAGAAGAGCACCTCTGGAGTGGATAACAGCAAGAGTATACCCTTCAGAAAGATACTAGGAGTACTTCAAAAGTTATTCATCCACTAAAATTTGCAGATACTGATGTTTGCCTTCAAACTCAGATGTTTTTGTTGACAATCTTTTGTAGCTGGCTTCCTACCAAAACTCGCAGGCAGAATCTCTCCGGCTGCCACAGTGAAGCAGCAGCTGACGACCAAACTTCTAGAAAAAATCCTTTCATTCGCTCCTTAATTTGGGACACTTTATTTCTTCCTCTGGCTATTCTCAGCTAGGGAGTGAGATACCTCTCTCCTTCAAAGACAATTAGGGTACTTCAAAATAGTGCTTGTGATGTTTTTCACCAGTTCCCTTTCCTTGGGCTACTCATCCATCATTTGACAGAGAAGTAGGGAAGTCCTTGAACAGAAGTGATCTAAGTGTTCATTCCTCTCAAATATGAGCTCTTGGGCCATAATTGAAAAGTGTCATTAGCTTTAATGACACCAAGAGTTCCCCCGCCTTTGAAGGCCTGTTCCTTTTCTTGTTTAGGCTGTTATATATATAATTTCACCCTGACATATGGGAAATACACCAATATACAAACAGGCTTTGCTTCTTCGGAGCTATACTGGAAAGTTCCACGTGTTGTGAAGATAAATTGTATGGCAAATATATTTTCTTTATGAAAAAAAATTCTTTTAAAAGCTTGGATAACCTTTTATCAGACTAATAGAAACATAACAAGCTGGAAAACAGCATTTAGTCCAATAATAAATTTGCCTGGGAAGATAGTAAGAAATAATTGGTAGATTTTTTTTCTCCCTTCAGGTGCTAAAACAAATTAGCTCTTTGTTGATCTGACTTGCAAGAATCATTGAGTCTCAACTTCAAAATATAGCATAGGGAGTATGGAAATACTCTGCTAGCATGGGCAGAAACACTCGTATCCCTAAAGAATTCTTTACTTCATTCATGCAACTACGAATGTTGGGGGAATGCTGATTTAGATGTGAGGCCCCCAGCATAAAGCACTGGGCATTAAATGCACGAGCATTTCTTTAGAGCAGCTTAGCTGAAGTTTATCATGACCATTCAGCCATTGCCTAGCAACTTGTGAAGGCCATCAAAGAGCTCTTTGTCCATAGCTCTGGCAAAAACATTTTCTCGCAGTTATCCTTATCAGTATCAAAACCAACATGAAAACTTAATAAAAAACAATTTTATCACATAAAAGATTAATACTTGCTTGAAATTGTGGCAATCATAAGCCAGTTGATACCATGTTGTAAAAGATGTGTTTACTGTTGCTTTGTAAGTTCCAGTAAAAATGCTTCTTTTTCCTCAATAATTTCTAGCTTTTCTATAAAAGCATAGATTTCTTTGCTGAAATTTCATATAAAGCATCACTCTGGAAATTAATTTTTTAAAGTTTTTTTCATCCTTTTAATATTTCTAACTTGTTCTTTCTCAAAAATGGACATACTTGATTTTTACAGCTATTAAGATGTGAAACTCAATTTCTTATTTTTAAGTGCCTTGTGAACTTAATAACAGTGAGATTTAAAACTATTTTTACAAGTAGATATGCAGTAAATCACTGAATAATCTCTGCTTTGCTGCACTCATTCTTGACACTCACAGGAGTGCAACTGATTTTGCTTCTGATCAATAATGAATATAATAAAATTCTTACAGTGAAACAGCAGTAATCAGCACACTTTCAGTATCTTATATTGTCATAATTATTATTCTGTGATATTTAATATACACTTTTTATTAGCTAAGTAGAAGGATATCATTCTTCACCTCATAAGAAGTGGAAATGGGAAAGAAAATGTAGTCTTTTTTTCAGTTTCCCTAATGGATAATTTTCCCCGGTGTGTACTGAAGGAGCTTTTTCCTTTTTTCATTTTCAGTAGTAGTTGCTGGCTCTTTCAAGTATCGTGGCTCTCTGCAGCATGGGACCCATTGTCTTTTCTGTTCCAGTGTGCCCACTATCACCCTTTGACACCACACTGTCATAAAGCATCCTCTGTGCACAGATCAAGGCAGCCTAATTGAGCCTGGTATTATTGTATGTCACTGGTCTACATAATCTCAGATAATGCAGTGTGGTAACTCTTGGCAACCACTGGCTTGTTAATAGTGACCATTATATACTGAACAGCAGTGAAACCCCTTAAGACTGTGAAAAATGTCTTTTCTTTAGCAGGGTTCACTGAGTGAAGCTGTGTATGATATGATACATAACACTCACGTGGACAGAGTGCCAGGCTCAGTTGTGAAATGCTCTGCGTGTGTCTGCTTATGCTTTCACAGACTTGGAGACCCGAATTCTCAAATTTGGGAACCCCAAGCAAAGCAATTTTATGCAGCTGAAAGAAGTGGTTCTTGTTAAAAAAAAAAAAAAAAAAAAAAAAAAAAAAAAAAGCTGTGATGTCATTCTGCTCATGTGCACCAGCATCTCTCAAAATCCAAAATCAAGCCACTCTCTTATGTCCATTTACCCACAAATGGGGAGTTAATGAAAAAGTTGACCCAGACTACTGAGAAGCAAGTCCACAGTGCCTCTCAAATGTAGATGGAGACAGGAGAGTGCCTGTGCATGGAAAAATGAAAGAGGAGTGATACAAGCAGTCTTTCATTTTTTGACAATAGATTTGTTTTAGGTCAGTAGTAACTCATTGCACAGTCAGGGCTTTTAGGTGGCCTATGTACTGACTGCTGCTGGTCAATGTCTGGATTTTAAAAGTCAAGTGTTTTCTCTCTTGCTGGCATTAGTGAGCCACATATTTGATTCTTCATTCTGTCCACTGTCTTGCAGAGAAACAGTTCCAGAATCTGGAGTTCCACCCTTCCTCTAATTAGAGGTTACATAAAACTTTGCAAGGCAGATGCTGGGGGTGTTAAGGAATCACCTCTGAGTCTGATCTATCAGTAAACCATGTAATTATTTTTCAGGATCGTTACAAATGAGATTTTGTAGGTTTTGCTGTTCAAAGATTTTTTTTCTTGTCACATGTAAAACTGGTTTGGGTTTTTTTTAGGACTTGGGAAGGCATTGAACCTGTGGCATATTTTGCTGGAAATACTTACAAAGCAAGACATCGTTGTGGTTGGATTCAGTCCACTTTTCCTTTAGCTGAGGGTTCATTCAGTAGAGGCATTACAGTAATACTTAATTGTTAATGAAAAGTGCTGTAGACACAATACAGTCTGAGTTCCACAGTGGTGCCTGCTGGCATTTAACATGCAGAGTGTTTTTTAAAAAGCCGGAAAATTATAGTTAATGTTGCTGCATTGCAAAAAAAAGCCACAAATGAAAAACCAAACAATACAAAAAAAATCTAACAATAAAGAGACCGTAATTGGTTGATTACAATGAGTGGTTTGTATTATGATTTAAATGTACGGATTCAGGTTGCGGCCATTTTACAATCAATTTTATATCAAAAGCAGCTAAACAAAGCACTGACTGACTAGCATCTGTAACACTGTTGCAGCTAAGCATTTTGGAATGCTCATGTGGTGTGTTTGGAAACCCTTTGTGTGCGCTACATTTTTCCATGCGGTATGAAGCTGAGCAGTAATCAGCTCACCACTAATTAGAAATCATTCAGTGTCCTGTACACCATTATTATACAAAGTTATGTCAGACCCAAAGAATTCTTATGCTCAGAAGGAAGAGTTTCTATATACCTTTTGTCATGCGTTTCCCAAACATAAAATTTGAAAATAAGGTTTTGCCGTTTTGAAACGGCCATTATGGAGAAAGCAAAAGCCATTTATGTACATCTCATAAAAACTAGAATACGAAATTCACTGTTCTGGGGGAAGACAGGAACAGGGATGCACATTTACTGTGTTCTATTTTCCTGATGTTAGTGGTATTTTCAAAAACAGGTTATGCGAGCTGTGTTTTGAAAATCTGTCCACTGAGGACCACAGGTTTAACCTTACTATGCATGAGAGTTCTTCACAAATGTTTTATTTATGTTTTCAGGCATTCACTGTGACAGTGTGTGTGCTGAGGGACAGTGGGGTCCAAATTGCTCCCTGCCTTGTTACTGCAAAAATGGAGCATCTTGCTCTCCAGATGATGGAATCTGTGAGTGTGCACCAGGATACAGAGGCACCACTTGTCAGAGAAGTAAGAACAAAATTAATGTTTTAAAATCTCTGTTTCTCCTCCTCTTACTTGGAATACATATCATATAACACAACAATGCTTTGTTAATTGTAGTATGAAGTACTATGAAATGCTCCCTGATGGGGCATTTTCTCAAAATATATCAATATGCAGAAAAAAAGTGTTATCTTAAATGAACAAAGCAGTAGTGCTCTTCTTGTTATGGTACAACTTTACTTTTATTCACTGTCTGTGCTGTGGCATTGTTATGAATATGACTTTCTAAGAAATTTAGTAGGGGACTCCATTCTAAGGGTAAACTTATGTACTGTAATGTGTATTTTGTTAGGTAAATAAAACATACATGAGTTTCAGAAACTTAAAAACCTCCCCATTGAGTTTGGTAGGAATTATTGGCTTAGTTATTGCTTTTTTTTTAAACACTTACTTTGTAAGAATCAGCAGTGGCATCAGGCCTCAGAGTGAGAACAGGATATCAAATGTACCCATGGTTCCTTTTGAAAAAATTAAAATTAAAATTACAAGAATAGAGATACAGATAAACTAAGGAAAATTGTGCTAGAATCAAGGAGGTAAATAATAAGTCTACCCTCCCAACAAGATTTGTCACAGTTTTCCAGCAGTCCAGCTGCCTTTAGTTTGAATCATCGAAGCTGTGAGGGAAGGGTGTTCAGGGAAGAGAAATGTGTGTCTCCTGGAATTGGGGGTAGCCTCATTTTCAGAGTAGGTCTCCCAGAAACAGAGTCAAGAAGTAGGTGGAGTGAGGCCAAGCAGAGATGCTCCTGGGTCTTCCAAAAGAGGCTGAAAAGGCAGGAGACAACATGAAATGGTCACTGATATGTTAGAAGGAGAATCGGAGGAGGGTCAAGTCCTAACAGTCCAGGAATGGCAAAATCTCAAGCTGAAGGATGTGATTGCCTATGGCACTACTAAACCCCACATTAGGGTGGCATTAGTATTCCTTGAGCATTTCTAACTATGCACAGTAATTATTCTCACTATCTAATCTCTAAAGGCACTGCAGTTAATCAGTTAATCCAAAAGCAGACTCAGTGTAACACTACATGTAAAAATGTTCCCTTGTGTTTTGGAACTGTGCTTATGATCTGGACGAGAAGCTTCCAGTCTAGTGCCTCTCAGAGCCCCTCTCTGATGCGCGATCTGGAGGCTGGGAAGACAAAGGTCATACAAATAATTTGGATCCCAGTCAGAAAGTGCCTTTTCAGTAAACAGGAAGACCTTTTGGCATTGTTTCACTTGGAAAAGTTAACCTCTGTAGAGAGATCTGGCCATATAATTTGTATCAAGTGTATAATTAAAACACTGAAACTTGGATGAAATTAAAATATTGAAAAGATTCCAAGTTCCTTTTGTCAGTGCTAATTGCAGCTGTGCAGGTATTTCTCTTGATGTATTACCTAATACTTTACATTTATCAGGAAACGAATGCCAAAAGGGATTAGAGCTACAAAGAAGGAGATTTTATGTAACAGCCCATTTTTCCCCCCTGTTTTTGTTTTGGGTGGGGTTTTTTGGGGTTTGGGTTTTTTTTGGTGGTTTATTGGTTGGTTGGCTGATTTTTTAGTTGTTTTGTTTTTTAAGAAACTCGTGCTTTTAGTATCAGAATTAACTGGTAGACTTTGTATTTCTGGTCTCAGGTTCTCTAAAAGTTAGGTGACTCTGTACCATGTAATGAGTACAGTGAATATCTGAAAGAAAGGTTGACTGGAAAACATTTGTATTTTTTACCAATGAAGTAATGGGTAAGTTAGTTCCCATGTTAGGAAGCACATAAGAAGTCAAGATCTAAGATGACCTTACTCATCTAGAGAAAAACTATTCTCTGTTATTTTAAATTACTTGTCTTCAAATATGCTTTAAAACACATCTATGATTGGACAAATATGTATAACAATAAAGTAAATATACATTTCAAACATTATCCAATCACAGTGTGGCTTGACATGTAACAGAATGTTGACTAAGTCATTATTAACCAGAATTATTAACCTTGAGGAAAACGAGCAAATCTCCTTTTGTGACAGTAAATGTCATGGTTTGAGAGCTCCAAAAGATCTAATTCCCTAGTCCAAGCCCCCTCCCCACATCTCAACTCAGGGTGAGATGGTTTCCAGACACTACACAAGATTCAAAATGGGGAAAAGGGAATATATTATAATGACTGTACAAATAAATACTACAATACATTATATACAATCTTAGCTATCTCTACCATGACATAAAAGTATTTACAATGGATCAAATCTCTTCTCCCCTCCAAATAAAAGTCCAGGAGGGAAGAAGGAAAAGATCTCTTTCCACTCTCAGAGCAGCAGTTTCTCTAGGGCAGCAGGTTCTCTGTTTCGCTCTTCCATGCAGCAGCTGTAGCTGGATCTCTGCCAGTACTCACGAGGGGGTATCCAAGCCCCTCGGCCACTCGTCTTCAAGCGAGGGTCTTATCTTCCGTGGGCTGCATTTTCCAGGACAAGGGCGCTATCACCACGTCATATCATGAAGCACAGGGGTCTTCGTGACGGTCCTTATCTTCAGGGGATTCAAGCCCCTTTGCAGAGCTCTGTGCTCTGTCTCAAGCAGCGGGGGGGCCAAGGTCACCCCCTCCACATTCCTTCTGAGCTTTACAGCTCTTTTCTGCAGTGCTGCTGCAGTTTTAGGACTTCCATTCAGTAGGAGTCCATCCTCTCCACTTAGGAAAGGTCACAAAAGGAGTTTGGGGGTTTTTTGGTTTAGTTCTTCCCCCAAAAACTCTGCCTGTACAGCTAGTCTGCTCTCTCTGCTGCTGGCTCTCTCTCTCGGCTCTCTTCTGTGTCTTCTTTGACTGGCTGCAAGCTGCCTCTGCCTCTTTCTTATCTCTTCTGGCTCTCTGCCACCGTTTCTTCGGTCAGTGCAGTTCTGCCGCTGCTGATGCTGCTCTGTCTCTGCTCACTCACGGTGGAGAAAACTTCTTTAGCTTTCTAGCTACAGATACTTGGTCTAGTTTAACACTGTTCTAAGTCTCTGTAGCCCCCCTGCTGGGGGCTGGGGGGGGGCCCAGAGGCCCCAAGGGGCTCCGAGCCCTTTCCTCGTGGTCTCAGAACATGGCCACCTCTCTCAACAACTTCAACAACTACCTTCTCTTCCGTTCTGCTTGTGATATGTTTATATTTTGCAGAAGTGCTCATTGGGTAAAACCTCAAAACTTCAAGGGTCACCACCCCCTGGGGTTTTACCATTTTGTAACTGCAGGGGGAAAACTGTTTCCCCCCCACCACAGTAAATCATTGAACTCTACAGATAATAACCACCACTATTGCAACTCCTGTGTATTTAGAAAGAAGAGCTAATTCCAAGTCAGAAACAAGTGCCCTACAGTTCATGGCTGTATGGAAAGCAAGGAAGTCAATGTCAATTTGTTCTCTCTGGTTCCAGTTTGCTCCCCTGGGTTTTACGGACACCGCTGCAGCCAGACTTGCCCCCAGTGTGTGCATAGCAGTGGTCCCTGCCACCACATCACTGGCTTGTGTGACTGCCTGCCTGGATTTACAGGAGCCCTCTGTAATGAAGGTACAACATGTAATAAAGACATTTCATAAAGTGTGAAACCCACTGTACTCTTAATTGTATTATTTGTATAGTAAGTATGGATATTGTGCTTACCAGAATTTACAATGCCTTACTTTAATGTTATACTAAGCAATACATTTCTTGATCCAAATATTAGTTGCTTTCTCTTGAAATAAAGAAAATAAAATCTTGTTCTGATTGCTAAGGAGTTCTAATTCTGACAATGTCTTCTCAGTATGTCCCAGTGGCAGATTTGGCAAGAACTGCATTGGAATATGCACCTGCACCAATAATGGAACTTGTAATCCTATTGACAGATCCTGTCAGTGTTACCCTGGCTGGATTGGTAGCGACTGCTCTCAGCGTAAGTATCAGTTTTTTCCCTTTAATTTTAGAACAAATAACCAGGGTCCAGCTAAAGTATCAACATTTTGGTAAGACAACACTGTCTAAGTCAGAAATTAGGACTTCATGGTAAATAATGAATATATGGCTAAACTTTTCTTCATTTTATCAACACTGTCATGGTGCACTATAATCCTTTCAATGAGTGGGCTGGAGTGCAGGATAGGAGGGATCAATTTTCAGCCTTCCACTGCCCAAAGGAGAGTTGTGGAGAAGCTGTATCAGGCTCATTTCAGAAGTGCACAGTGAAGAGACAAGAGGCAATACTCACAGGTTGCAGCAAGGGTAACTTTTACTAGATAAAAGAATAAAAATCCTTACCGTGAGAGTTGTCAGACACAGCAACTGTCCAGAGACGCTCTGAAGTCTCTGGCCTGGAAGAGGCTGTGAAATTATCATAATTGAAGAACCTTTGAATAGGATGTTGGACTAGGAGATTATACAGGTCTCTTCGAACATGTCTGTGGATTGATAAATCTTTGCATTAGAGAGAGAGTTCTTGGTCTGTTGTTTGTTTATGTGTAATTATTTACTCTTTTCACAGTAGTGTTGTGAACATCTCAGGGCTTGTATCCTCAGGACAATCTTATGAATAAGAGGTATTATTTTATAAATAAGAAGCACTGAAATACAGGGTGTTTTTTCTTACTCTCTTTTGCAAAGAGAGCTACTGGCAAGGCTGAAAACTAAGCTGAGATTTTCTCAGATGCAATTTAGTGCTCTGAATGCACTACCATCCTTGTTCTTACTAAACATCTGAACATTTCGTTAAGAAATTTACCACTAAGACTTTTTTTAAAGTGTTTATAACTTTGTGATGGATTTTTCTGTTTCTTCCTTTTTTAAATGTTTCACAGATAGACATTTTTAGTGTCATTCTGCCTCACTGGATGAGTATTGTCTTAGTATGCTAAACTCAGTAGAAACTTTGTTATTGACTTTAAAAAGGAGGAGGGAAAAGCCCTAATTTTATTACTTTTTAGAGTTATTTTATTAAATTAGTCATTCTCCATATGCCTTCCTGGGTGTATGCAAATTACTAATTACAGGAAAGAACTGTTTTAAGCAAAATTCTCACAAGAAGTATATCCAATCCCATAAGGTACTAAAATCCATGCAGTCTGAAACATATGCATGCCAAAACTTCAGTCAACCCATTTTTGTAAGTAAAAGTAGCTGCACCATACTCTGATATTTTAAAGTTCAAAAGATATTGTGGTGGGGTTCCCAGGGAGGTGCATTTCCTAATAATAGGCCTCATTGGTTTATATCATTTAAGGTTTGACCGGCCCAGGTTAACTGGCTCTGTACCGGTGCAATGTAACATCTGGTCAGTTTGGAAAAAAAAAAACCAAACACTTCCCTGGCTAAGTTCTGTGAACTGATTAGCATGCACAACTCAATATGATACCAAACTAAATCTTGGGCCTATTCCTGTGGAAGCCAGTTGGTACAAAGTACCACCTGGTTGTATGGTAAAATAAGTAGGTAGTTGGGAGAGTAGCAGAATAGGGGTATTTAGGAGGAGGAGGGACTTACTCACTGAATCAATAACAAGAAAATGGTGCCAGCAATATGAATGGAAGTGCTTATTGAGGCTGTGCTCATGGACCATGACAGAGGAAGTTTATTTGCTTTGTGTAAAGGCCTTTAGTTAACATGGAAAATAATTATTCCAATAATTTCATTCAGAACTAGAGACCTTTTTCAAACTTTTAACCTTCTGGCTGTATGTGATTTACATTCCTTCTTAGTTGACCACTAATTTCAAACACAAAACTATAATTATAATAATTATGAGGCACAACTGAAGTGAAAACAAAAACCAAACTTAATCCTTTTTTTCGATACAATGTAATATGTTACTTAACGAAGTGAACTTTGGGCAAAGATGACACTGCAAAATTACAGCCCACACATACATGAATAATTATGCAAATATTTAAAGGATTCAGGAATTGTTATTGCTCCCAGACAGGTCTCTGGACAACCAATTCAGTACACAACAATAAGGAGTTATCAGCCTCTTTAAATTTACACAGGAATAAAACTACAGCTTCCATGTCTGACCTGTTTCTTCTCTCCTATGAAATACTTACACTGTACTCCTTAAAACTATTTTTAAAGTACTAAAGTACTACTTAAAGAACCACTTTCTTAATGAAAAAAAAACCCTCAAGATGTGAATCCTACCTAACAGAAAGGGTCTATTCTTAGAGTACCCTCTTCACTTTGTGGTATTCTAACATGAGGAAAATTATCTTTCTCTGTCTCTGAAAAGTAATTAGCATTTTGGAACCACTTCACTGTTCTAATGGCAGCACACAGTATCACAGTCATTCATCATGACATTTTCAAAGCAGCCAGTAAATTCTGTCTCCTAATGTATTGACATGATTGTGAGCAAAGTAATCTCCACTTTATAGCTATTACTTGGTTTTTAGAAATATTATATTTATTATTGGACCCATGGAAGCAACTGAGTTAACTTGACTAAGGCACAGACCTGATTATATGCACCACATTTAAGCAATTATAGTGGAAACATAAGAAGCAAGCTTAGTTTTGGGTCTAAAGCTATAGGCTATATAGCTGTTTCAACCTCTGTTTACCTTCACTTTTGAGACTTAAAAACCATATCCTCTTGACTGTAAACAATTGAACTGTTTGCAGATTAAAAAATAAATGGAGAAAGGAAACAATGTCTTTATGAGAAAGCTGGTATGAATGTCCTGTGTACTCAGTATCAATTATGTATCACTGGGGTTTTCACATATTTATTATTTTTCAGCACTTTTTACCTGGAGTAAAATGATTTCCTAGTTTAAATAAATAAATAAATCTGTGGCTATTTGGTCAGAATAGAGCAGCCCAAACCACACATCTGAAAGGAAAACAACAAACACCAAACAAAGCAGTGCTCATATGTGAATGGAAGCAGCTCTATTCATGGGTATCAACGGCTTTTTCATTTGAGATTAATTAATTGCTTTGGGTTGTTTTAGCTTGTCCACCTTCCCACTGGGGACCAAACTGCATCCACACGTGCAACTGCCACAATGGGGCTTTCTGCAGTGCCTATGACGGGGAGTGCAAGTGTACCCCAGGGTGGACTGGTCTTTACTGTACACAGAGTAAGTGACTTTTGTATTCCATTCTCAGTCTACAAATCAGTGACGGAATTATCCTTCAGTGTCCTTCAGATTGAAGCCATGGGAACAGCTTCTGTCTCAGCTGTGGCTGTGATCTGCTGAGGCACAGCCCCTCTTGTCACTGCAGAGTGATCACACTGTACATCCAATATCTGCAATTGCAATTACAACAGCTGAAGCTCAGTACCTGTAATTCAAATACTAATACAGGAGTTATTTTATCTGGAACGTGGAAAGTTAACTTCACTAGACTGTAAAATTATAGTTTGTTTTGGGATGTTTTTCATTTAATAATACATTAATACTGATTTTTTTTCCCCCAAGAGCTTTTCATTAAAATAAAAAAGCCATGCATGACTGGGTGTAGGTATGTGGCACTCATCATATGCTGGGTGAGAGTTCATACAAAGTTTGAGAAATAAACATTTGCTAGAAATAAATTTTGATAGAGCTGGCTTTTTATCATATTGCACCTTCAATTTGGTTTACCTTCAGTTCAGGTAGTCACACCCCCACTGACTGTAATCTGGGCAGAACTCTTATCTTTGACCTCAAGAAAAATATGACTGCTGACTGTGTTCTGCATTCAGTGTTTTAAATACATATTTTTCATAAATCAGAACTCTCTTTTTTCAAATGAATAATGTCAGAGTGTCAAGAAATAACAGATATATTGCAGGGCCATATGGATAAAGTTCTGGAAGACATTTACTATGCTGTTCTGCTGTCAGCTATCATGGTTATTTTGCATCCTGCTGGTGAATAATGATCTCTTTGCAGTGGTATGTCTTCTCCATACTGAAATGGTATCTTTGTGAGTAGCTCACATACAATATGCTGTTATTTTTATTTTTGTTGTGCTTCAGCATAAACTGTGAGGAAAAGATGTCCAAATATTCACTGACTGCTGAACAGACTCTGTGGTCTGGTTCACAAACTGCCCTCTTTCTTCTCACTCAATACCTTCTCAAACCCATTTCTTCAAAGAGCTGTTCTTGCTGCCTTCTTCAGAACCTCTGTTGTCTGCACTATTTCCCAATTTCTGCTCAATTTCCCAACCCCATTTTTATGCAGATTTTGCCTAATGTGTATTTTAAACCACTTCAAATAAGATAGAGCTCGATCTCTTGTGTTTATAGAATGTTCCTGAAGCTACAAAAATGAGCTCTCAGTAACACACTAAACCAGAATATTCGCGTTTCATTTCTGGAGTGGCTGTTTCACCTCTTTTTCTCGTCCCTCTCCTTGTGCTGCAGGATGTCCCTTGGGGTTTTTCGGGAAGGACTGTGCCTTGATCTGCCAGTGTCAGAATGGAGCCGACTGTGACCACATCAGCGGGCAGTGCACATGTCGCACGGGGTTCATGGGCAAGCACTGCGAGCAGAGTGAGTGTTCTGGCCACAGTGGGAATTCTGACAGGGGAAGAGCTTCAGGAGCTGGACCGAGCTTTTTCCTAAGAGAGAAAAGCCCACAAAACTAGTTATTAAGACTGATGATTGCAATGGCTGTTTCTTTCAATTTGTAGCTCCGTGTAAGAGGCATTTGCACTATGTTTTAGTTGCTTTGGACTTAATGCTAAAAAAACATCCAACTCTTGTCATGTAAAAGCAATATATGAATCCAAGTAATTGTGATTAGCATAAACCACAATGAAAAGTAATAGTTAGAAAACTAATAGTTAGAAAACTAAAGATAAGAAGTGGTGGGGATACAATTAATCTGTGCAATGTGGTTTTGCAACACATTTGGATTATAAAAGCATTGTAGATGCTATTTTGTTTTCATATGTGTGTGGTTGTTATACATGAAAATCAAGAATAACACCACTGACATCAATAGTGGTGCCACATTGAACAACATTAAAAGAAGAATCCGGCTCATAAGCACAGGAAGTGTTTGTCCAACTCTTGCTAACTTTATGGAGAGGTGCTCCCAAATTCATGCACTCTGATGATTTCTCTGTTTCACTTAGAAAGAGCAATAAAGTTCAGGGAAAGACTAACTTTTTAAGACAGTCACTTGATATCAAAAAATAATTTTGAATACTTTGGCAAATCCAAGTCTATTATTACATTTTATAGATTTTATATTTTTCTTAGAATTTTATAATAATGATGTAACAATATAGAATCATAGAATCATAGAATCATAGAATCGATTGGGTTGGAAAAGACCTCCGAGATCATCGAGTCCAACCCTTGGTCCAAATCCAGTCCATTTACTAGATCATGGCACTCAGTGCCACGTCCAATCTGCGTTTAAAAATCTCCAGTGATGGTGAATCCACCACCTCTCTGGGCAGCCCATTCCAATGCCTGATTACTCTCTCTGTAAAGAATTTTCTCCTGATATCCAACTTAAATTTCCCCTGGCGGAGCTTAAGCCCGTGCCCCCTTGTCCTATTGCTGAGTGCCTGAGAAACTAAATGTTTTGGTATTTGTTCTAATTCAGATTTTAAAATGCCAAAATATATTATGACATGATATTTTTTGCCCAGACATTTACTTCAGTAATTAAAATTCTGTTTAATTGAGTGTAATAAAGAGAAGGAGAATCTATATAGACATGGAAGTTTCACTTGAGACAAGACTCAAGTGAATGCCAGATAATGCAAAAACATTATCTGGCATTCATTGCGTTACTTTGTAAATTATTCTAAATTAGGAATGCCTAAAAGGTGAGTTATATTCTTTTAAAAAGACAAAAAGAAGAACAAATTAATATCATTACAGAACTCCTGAGATATTTCAGAAAATTGAGTCTCAGAAGGTGAAGACCTACCATACTTGCTGAAACCATCAGAACTCCTATAATGTAACACATTAGTGTTACACACAGTACCAGAGGTGGCAGCATAAAAGAAATAATTTTTATCAGTTTAGGATAATTCTCTACCACGCTTATGTCATGATGTAGGAGACACTTTGATCAGTAATTAATTATTGTATTCAAGTCATTCTAGGAGAGAAAAAAATCTGTGAAACTCTTCCAATTAGCTTATTCTCCATGATTTAGCATTTTCCTCCTGTAGGTAGTTTCTCAGTACATTCATCACAGTATCAAAGCAGCAGTTTTATTTTTATATAAATGTGTGTTGCAGTTTAGACTCACTGTTATGGCCCTTTCTTCTTGCTATTTTACATCAGCACAGCTGTCATAAGATATGACAACAGCCAGATATCTGACTCCACCTGTATGATTAGATGATTTTTCAAGCACTGGGATATGAGCAACCTGAAAGACATTGTGTTCTGGCTCTTTATTCACATCTTGCCCATTTCTTCCCTGTCTCCTACCCTTTTTATCTTATTAGGATTTTTTTTTTCCTTCCTAACTGCACTGCCTTAGTGGCAACAACATTGCAGGTAAAGGATGAATACACTTCTAAATAAAATTTCCTTCTCCTTTCCCACACATAAACACACATGCTGAGGCGTCCTTTTAGGATTCCTTCCTGAAGAGATCTGCTGCTAATGACACATTGCCATCTGCTGACCACGGACTGAAACGTGTGGGCGTGTGGGGTTAGAAACGTGTGGCGCTGCAGGTCTGTAATTACCAAAGCACTTAATAAGTACTGACTGTGTCTCATTTTCACTTATGCAGAATGTCCCCAGGGTACATACGGGTATGGGTGCCGTCAGATCTGTGATTGTCTGAACAACTCAACCTGTGACCACATCACTGGCACGTGTTACTGCAGCCCAGGCTGGAAAGGGGCGAGGTGTGATCAAGGTAAAGCCTGGATGCAATAAAACTACTGTAACTGTTTCCTGTAAAAATTGCATTGACCTATGAAATACCATCTCTGTGTCATTCATTAAGTAGATCTGAGAAGGCATGAGCATTTAAGTAGTCCATTCTATTAAATACATTCTGTACACTTTAAATGAGATGCCTCAGTGATAGTTAATTGGAGCAAAGCTCTCAAGTGTAGATTGCACAAAATGTTTTACAGGGCTGTGCTGTCCAAAGCATGTGCTTTACCTGCCCTGTCCTTTTGCCTAGGGAATATTCCTACTTCAAATTCATGAAAATATCTCTTTCTGTGAAGATCATGAATGTTTTTCCTTAAGGTTAGGATTGTCCTCACATTGGTTTCTGACATAGCTCTATTTTGGCATTATTAAATACAGTTAGGTTAGCAGGAAGATTTAGAAGTGAAATCTTGTCTTCTGCTCCTGACACATGACCTTCTGAGTTCATGCCACATATTTTTATTTTTTCTTGTATTTCAGCTGGTGTAATCATTGTGGGAAACCTGAACAGTTTAAGCCGTACCAGTACTGCCATCCCTGCTGACTCCTACCAGATAGGGGCTATAGCAGGCATCATTGTTCTTGTCCTGGTTGTGCTTTTCCTGCTAGTACTGTTCATCATTTACAGACATAAGCAGAAAGGAAAAGAAACAAATATGCCCACAGTGACCTACACCCCTGCTATGAGGATCATGAATGCAGATTACACCATTTCAGGTAAGTGATGTTTAGAACAGATTTTATCCTCAAATATTTTTCTTCATTAAACAGTGGAAGTATGGACATTTCTATTCCCCTGTGCCTGTTTTTAAAGAGAACTGGAGTGTGGCAAAATATGGTTTCTACAGAGACTTTAAATTCAATGTCAACAGCTTGAATACAGAAAGGCTGCTACGGCTGTAGAAAAATCAAGATTTCACACTATCTGTGGCAAGATTCTGTAGAGAACCGGATAGGAAAGTGGCTCAAGTTTGAAACAAATTAAGGGAAAGAGAAATGAAGCAAACAGGAGTTTCTGACCTATGAAAGTGCCTGTGAGTTGCGATGCAGTGGGTACACAAAACTTAAGGCAATGCTGTTTTTTGCACACCACTGTTTAAGGAAAGCAGCAGTTGAAGACAACAGCAGAAACAGTTGTCAAGAGTTAAGAAAAAGCAAATCAGCAAAGGTACTAGTGGCTTTTGAAGCACCAGAAAATGTTGGTGTGAACTTAATGGTGCAAGTGACAGTGATTAGGGCAATGCTATGACTACAGAGATAAAACAGAGATGTTAACAAGTAACACTTGTGTATGATCTTTGCTGAAAGTGGGGGCATGACTAGTTACTTACTGTTCTGTATCTCTAATTTCTTAAAATAAATGCAAGATTTTTAGTTTTGTTTCGGTAGGTTTTTTTAAGAAACTCAAAATCAGATTCTGAAATCAGAGCAGCACTGTCAAAAACATATCTTTGAGGAAGAAATGCCATGTTATTTTCAGTTGTTCATCTTCCTGTCTTTTTCTTTTCAGAAACCATCCCTCACAGTAATGGTGGAAATGCCAACAGTCACTATTTCTCTAACCCTAGTTATCATACTTTAACTCAATGCACTACCCCACCTCATGTAAACAACATGGAGAGGCTGACTTTAGCAAAGGTAAAGCATAAAAATCTGTAAACTTCTCTGTCAATTAGTCTTCAGTTTATTTTACTTTATTCCCTAATGTTTCCCATTTGGTTTATTTTTGCTTTCCCTGATTATCAGGTGGAAATTCAGCAGCTTCCCACTAGTTTAAGTTTCTATTGCCCATCTTTCTTTGAAACAGGTAAAAAACAATCAGCTGTTTGTGAACCTTAAAAATGTGGAACCTGGAAAACGAGGTACTGCCATGGACTACACAGGAACACTGCCAGCAGACTGGAAACATGGTGGCTACCTCAATGAACTTGGTAAGGAAAAAAAAAAGGAGAGAATGTGAACATCATTCATTGTGTGTGTGATGGATTAGAAAGCAGGAATGCTTTCCTGAGTCTCCTCTCAGGGTAATATCAAGTTGGTCAGATTGTGCGTGAGGTTCAGGGTTATAGGTTTGACCTTCCCTCTTGTGAGGTATGCTGAAACAGTCTGATTCCCAGCACAGACATGAGATGCAAAATATCTCATATTATTTTTGTTAGAAGGTTTGCTTATTGATTAGTTTTATAAAACAATGGGTATTGTACAATAAGGGTCTGCTTTGAAAAAATTACATACTCTTATTAAATAAATGAAAAGTTGCATGTATTCTTTTTTTTAATCCCTACCAAATGGAATCAATGGTTTAAAAAGTAGTTTCTCATCATCTGAGCTGCTTCATATGTAAATTCTAGGAGATCTTCCCAGCTAAGCCTCCCATTTGCTAGAAGACAGAACATTATCTCTAAGAAGAAAAATTCCTAAGAAGTGGTTAGAGTTGCTGTATCCTGCTTTATGCTGTCTTTTTATTCTTTTCCAAACTCATGCACTCCAAAAAGGCTGGATTGCACTGGCCAGTGAAAGACCCTTAAAAGAGACTTTCAGTGCCAGTATCATTTAGATCATTTAATTACCTTCATTTCTGGTACTTACAAATATATGAGATTCTGGGAATCAGAACAACTGTATGCAGCATTGTTATGTTTCTTGCTCATCCCCAGTCTTGGTCAAACCACCATTCAGGCTCAGATCTCTTGGGTTTGTTTTGGGGTTTTTACAGAAAAGGGTTACATAAGCCTTGATGTTCAGCTTCACATTTTTTTAGAGCACTTGTACTTAAGGCTCCTAAGAGACACTTGCTATGGTTAACCCATGGCAGGAGATTCTCAGTAACAGGATGATTCCAGAGGACTAGATGAATGCTGATATTATGTCTGTTTCCTAGAAGATCAAATGGGATTACTTGGGTAACTTGGTGTCCTGGGCATAAGACTTGTAAAAACAACAGAACAGCTGACAAAAGATCTAATAAGATGGAGTAGGAATAAAATTAAATAGGTTTAGGTCTCCTCAAATAATATAATTTCCTTCTTGAAAACTATGGTTTTTGCTTACAGAGATATGGTATTGATAAAATGATTTTAGGCTTTCATAAAGTTCCTGGCACAGTACCAAAATACAGTCTAATTTAAGAAATTAGCTCTCCAGAATATCAATCAGCTATTTGAATGGATTAATAACCAGGTAAGTGCCAGGTCTCTGGAGATAGTTGTCATGCACTGCTCATGTTTACATTCGGATTTATATTGAGAGAAATCTCTTATTAACAGGTAATTGCAAAGTTGCAGATTCAGGTGCTGTGTGCTTAGGCCATTCGTGCAGGTCAAGAGACTGTAACAGGGACCCTGGGCATGATTAATTTTGGCAATAATTAAATTTGGAAGCAAAATATCAAGAAGTAGAGTGAACTTTCCATACCCTGAAATTTTCAGGTTAAGATGGGATGCTCTTCTGGCAGATACGGTTTATCCAGACAAAAAAAATATGCTTTAATCAAATAGCAGTTATTAGGCTAATTCAAGAGTAACTGGGGGAAATATAATGGTCTGTGACATATGTGAGGTCAAAGCAGATAATTTAGTGGTCCCTTGTGACCTTGATCACCTTCCATGTTCAGGAAGCTCCTGTCTGAAAGGGTGCAAGCAAATAGTAACAACACTTCTGTACCCTGGGCAGTTTCACAGTGCTTATGACAGAATTATTGTGTACAGCTAGAAATTAATCCTAAAGCAATTTTTAAACCCTTTAGAACCTGTTGTTTAACCACTTTTATTTTCTTTGATTTTAAAGCTACTTTGTTTTTTATATAATTTTTCTCAGGTGCTTTTGGACTTGATAGGGGATATTTGGGGAAGTCTCTGAAAGGTGAGATTATTTTCTGATGTATTCAGATGAAATGACACAGACATTCAGTTTACTTTTCTATATTACCTTCTGGGTGAAGAGAATATAAAAATAATTTTGGACTAAATTTTTCTTAGACATTGAATCAATACATGAAGTTTGTTCTTTTCTCTGAAGGAGGAGGCTATTTAGAAAAAAAAAAACAAACAACAACCAAGCCTTTATAAGTCCTCTCTGTGTTGCACATCAAATGTTTCTGTAATGCTTGAGTCACAACACAGTCCATTCTAAAAGCAGAAGGGGGATGGCCCTTGAATTCAGCCTAGTGAGTGAGGTGAGGACATGCTGTCCCTGCTGAAAGGCTTCAGAAGAGAGCCAATTCCTCTTGCAGCTGGCATGGTCAGCGTAGGTCTGTGTGACTGCAAGCCTGTAATGTTTCACCACCTTCACTGCAGGCCTTTGGAAAGCATATCAAAATACAAATACACAGAGAGGAATTAAAGGCTTCAGAAATTCAGGGTAGCACTGATATTTTGCTCTTTTGAATTTTTCAGTTTTCTCATAAGACTTTATACTGTACCACACTGGTGTATGTCACTATTTTTGATACCTGATTAAGGTGTGCATATGTAAAAGATGTAAAGATTTGGCACTTATGGGCATGGTTTAGTGGTGGGCTTGGCAGTATTACATTAATGGTTGGACTTAATGATCAGAAAGGTCCTTTACAATCTAAACTAATTCTAGGGTTCTATGGTTAGAGAAAGGCCGATTTAAATGAGTCACAAAGTTATGAGCACCTGTCTACTTACAGTTTCACTAAGGGCAATCTCATTGCTAAATATTGAATGAGAAACAAGCTGACAAAGTCTCATCTCTGAAGCATAAATAACACATCATATCATGAAACAACACAGAGAACAAAGTAACACAAACACCACAAAATCACTTCCCAGCATAAGAAAATATATCTCTGAAACCACAGTTATCTGTCCTTCAGTGAAATCCTAAATCACAAGCTACCTGATGTTTCCTTTTCAGTTCTTCTGTTATCACGTTACAGAAACTTGCAAAGAAGCTGGTTACTCTTTCAGTGTGGCTGCATAGTAAAACTTTTCACCAAACATGCCATCCTTAGAAGTCATGTTACCATTTGCCCAGACATTGGCCTTGGGAACAGTCTTAGATCACTTACTTTAACAGTGTCCTGAGAACAGCACTTGGAGGGGCAAAACGTATTCTGAATTACTGAAAATTGATACATTACCTGTATATTGTCGTAGGGTATCTGTTGGTAGGTCTTGGTCCATGGGGGAAAGAAAGACACACACACGGAGTGCTGAGACCAGAGGTGTCTGCCCGCTGAGAGTAGCAGGCAGCTTTATTGAGTTCTCTAAGTTCTGTTTTCTCACACATATAATAGAATGTGCAGCACCTGCACGCTGCCAAACAGCTCTGACCTTATACTGCTTAACACTCAAGGCTGTATCTATGGGTACATGCAATTATCCTCACTTTTCTCAAGGGAAAGGTCTCACACCCTGTAACACTTCAAACTCTTCTACTTCTAGGGGTCTCGGGGGTTCTATTGGCCTGCCATCTCCCCCCACAGTGTGGAGTGAAGTCACAGCCCCACAACTGAAGTTTGAGGAGTTTGGAGTGTTGCGGGGTGTTGGGCCGTTTTCCATGGGAGCAGTGAAGCTAACTAGATAGCTCCCATGGACACAGACTTGAGCTGTGTGGCTGAAATGTAGGTGCGCATTCCTCAGTGTTTTTGTGGAAATATGTTTGTGTTGTGTGTGTGGGAAAGTAGAAGTAGGAGAACCTAATAAAAGGCTGCCTGCTGCGCTGAGCAGGCAGATGTCTCTTTGTCTAGCTTAGAGACTGAGGGGGTTATCCCCTCACCACAGTATATAATGCTAGCGACTGTTTTAATCAGAATTGAAGATGCTCAGACTTTCAAACAGTAATTTGCTGGTGGCCAGATCAATCCTATTAAAAAGCACAGCACTTGAGGTGCTTTCTTTAATTGTTGTATAATAATTTTGAAGTTTTATGACTGGGTTCCATTTAAATGTTCATTTATGAGTGACTTTTCAGAACTCAGAATTAAAGAATGCCCTTTTTTCAGCAGCAGTGTCCATAATATGTACCATGGCTTGAGAGTAATACATTTTTCTTTTTGTAGATCTAGTGAAGAACTCGGAATACAATTTAAGTAATTGCTCATTAAGCAGTTCTGAGAACCCCTATGCTACTATAAAGGACCCACCAGCTCTGGTACCAAAAAGCTCAGAATGTGGGTATGTTGAAATGAAGTCACCAGCACGCAGGGACTCCCCCTATGCTGAGATCACCGGCTCTGCTACAACCAACAAGAACGTGTATGAAGTTGGTATGTACAAAATCTATTTCTGGATGCTCAAGGTTAAGGGCAAAGAGCATGGGACTTTCTTTTTTCTTTGATTCAGTTTAATCAAAACATATGAAAATTCACTGGGAAAAAAAAATATATGTTCAGATTCTGTTTTCTGCTCAAATGCTTTTAACAATAACCTCACTCTACTGAGATAAGTGGTGTAATTCACACAAATGAGGTATGAAATACCTTCAGCTCTGTTCTGTAAGCTAGAGGTGCCTCTGAATGTCCCTGGTTTAAAAGGCTTTCTCTAAACAGCAGCATGAGATAAGCTTAGCATTTGATTGCAATAGAATTCAACTCAACTGTTAAGTACTGAATACAGCTGGAGTTAAGTGTATGGGAGGGATAGGAAAGATCTATTTCTTTCTCTTGATCAGAATAAAACAGCATCTTCACCCATAGGCACGGTATTTCAGTAATATGGGCCCTGTCTAGTTACTATATTACTTAGTTGCAGAAAACTTTGGCATCTTGTGGAATGGTAGCTATCCTAATAATCTCTGGACTGGAATAAATTGTGTCCCATATCATAGGATACATTTTCCTTTTCTGTTCCCAACTTAGAAATGAAAATTCATCAATATCCCCATGGTGCTTTTAAGGACTTTTCTAAAATCTTGATTAAAACCCCCGAATTCAGGGTTTTTCTTAAGTTTGCCCACACATAAAGAAGAGATGCTGGTCCACTTGCTTCTGTCAGTAAACATCCTCATGGCAGGGCCCTGCTGCAGGTCTACAGGTGTAACTCAGTGTGAAGGCAAAACACCTAAACATCAGCCTTGGTTTCTAAACCTGCACTTCAGGAACTCAGCATGACAAGGAATCTTCATATTGAAGCAGAACCGGAAATGAAATACGTTGTCCTTCTGTTTGCCACTTCTCATATTGAATGTATGTGCTCTTTTTTGTCACAGAACCCACGGTGAGTGTTGTGCAGGGACCATTCAGCAGCAGAGGACATTTCAGCCAGGATCCTTATGATCTTCCAAAAAACAGCCATATTCCCTGTCATTATGACTTGCTACCAGTTCGAGACAGCCTCACATCCTCTACAAAGGGGGTCAGCACTGAATGACCCCAGAAGCTGGTTTGTAGAACAGTGGGACTCTCAAGGGGCAAATTGGCATGGTTGTGCTCCTTCCTCTAGTTTACCATCATATTTGGCTCCTAATCTGTCCAGCAAGTATTTGCTGTACATTAAACAGAATCTCAACACGAGGTTTGTATTGTGTATACAAGTGACAGATGGACAAATGCCACACTCTGGGGATCCTGATTATTTTTTCTCATGGCAGTAAATTTTATAGAAACGGGAATGCAACACATTTATACTGTAATATACTGGCTTAAAAATATTAGTTTGCAGATCAGTTTTGATAACATCCCATTTTAGTGACCTTAAATATAGACTTCATCTTTGTCATGTTTCAGACAGGACAGTGCAATTTACCAAATACCACTTTTTACGAGTGATCTGATTCATTAGTTATTCATTAGTAGAAGAAAAACTGCCTTGCCAAATTTTACCTTCCATTCTTATCTTTAGTCAAGACATTAAGAAACAAGATCTGATGGGGATAAGTAAGCACAATACTGCAGTTGTTTGAGAAATCCATCATCAGGCTTTTTTGTCCATTACTGGTGGTGGACATGGGTTGCTTGAATAGTTCTGGAGATAAAATAATTGCATACATCAGTATTATATGATGCTTCAAGATCTCTTAGTACTGCAGACCCCGCACTAGTCTTCAACAAATATTTTGCTACCATTTGTATATTGCAGTTCTGACCACTATTTCTGCCACACACAACTAATAATCCATAACATATCAGTAATTACTTCAAAAAATATGTAAAATAAATCAGTTTATTTTTGTCTCCATGGACTGATTATGTAAGGAGTGGACAAAGGTGATGACTTCTGTAAATCTTAACTGCAAGGAAGGGTTTACATTTTATAAACAGGTAGTAATAATGACTGTAATATAGAATAAAAATAGTGAAGTGTTCTGATTTTTTTTCTTAGAAATAACAAAGCAAACTCTGTGCATACTTGCTAAAAAGGCACCTTTTCTTTTTTATAGTTGATGTAGGGAAACACATGCTTAAGCTGGTCTTTTGCATTGCTAATAATGTGACACATGTATCTCCCATTCTTCATTAACTTCTGTCTCCATTTTTACTCTGTGTGTCTGTGTTTCTAGTGAACCAGCTTGTAACTGCAAAAATATTCTACTATGTGTACATTTATTTTGTATTTTTTGCCAAATGGCCTTTATTTTGTCCATTTAAGGGACCTCTGGGCAGAGGGAGAGAATTAAAGTAAGAATTCATGTCATACTGATGTCTATCAGGAGGTGATTACCTAATACATAACAGTTTAACCTAATTTGTTAATTGGGACAAAAAAATTATGGTGTTTTTGTTCAGAATGATAATAAGAATGCAGAAGAAAAGTAAAAAACAGTTCCTCGTTGAAGTTTAGCTTAGTCCGTTACTCATGTGGATGGAGACCATCTTTCCAGAAGAGCCTTTTTTCCCAATGAGGCTGTAACTCCTTCCTAAACAGTCTGCTCTCTGGCTTAGCACATGGATTGCCATGACATCTGGGCTGCAATACAATCTGACACAAAGAATTATCACAATTGTGACAGTACTGAAATATTCCTAAGAAACCCACAACCAGTTGCCTTTGGAATACTAAATGCCATAGAGGAATACCTGGAAGAAAAACTGACAAAACTTTCTCAATTTTTTTAAAAGGAACACCAGAGCTGAAATGGAAGTACAATTTCCTTTTATTTGTTGTCACTAAAGTGGTGAAAAATGAGGAAGCTACTGGCAAAGACATTGTAGCAGATGTGCCTAAGCCTGAGAATTTATATGCCTCTATGAAATGTCCCATAACATTCTTGGTTCTGGCTAGCCATGATAACTGGCTGTTTCGCAATTCCCTGGGCATTTCTTGTACATCCTTGGAATAAATTATTTTACTTTATTTTGCTAGTTAATGTTAACTAGAAGATTTCAGAAGCTGGTTACAATTTAATCCCTCTGTAAGACAAAGAAATGATTGGGTTTGTATGCATATAGATAATGTGTAGAGCTACTGGTATATACATTTTTTGTATTGTGTGAAACAGACTTTAAAATAAAACCTTTCTTTTCTAAAGCCATGAATAGAAAGTGCTGCCATTTAGCAATTGTGAGCTCACAAAAACCTGTTTTCTTGCTCTTTGTAAAATTTGGAGGCCACTAGGTAAATGAATCTTCATAATCTAAACAGTTCTTTTTAACATGGGAAAGTGAAGAGCTGAATAAATGGTATTTTTTTGAAAATCTCCAGTATGTCTCATATCCTCAAGTGATACATTCAGGCAAATATTCATGAAAATTTTGCCTATTGTGTATGTTCTAAATATATACATTACCAAGGTCTGCCTTTCTGTATGTGGGTACAACTCCTGCTGTGTAGTGAGCATAAGTAATGTCTGCATTTATCTGAGCTGGGTGTGCAATACATACAGGTAGAGTAAATGTCTTGTGAGTTTACTTCAGTGAGTGATCCTTGGTAGGTGCTCAAAAAACATTTCCTGGAGTACACTCTGCTCTCAACTTGAGACCCCCAAGCTCAATCTTCATGACTGTCAGAGAGTCCTTTTTGTAGATTCCACTCTGATCTTTACAGAATTTTAATATTTCTGGAATGTGCACACTTACATTGTGGAGAAAACTGAGTAAGTTGATGTAATAATTTTGCACACACTCAGAGAATTGGCTTCCACAGACAGGAAGGAAAAGAGACACTTTGTCTCTATATATTCACATCACAGTTGTGAGAAACAGCACTGAAAATTGAGATGGCTCTCCCCTTCCAACTTGTGATCATTTTAATAAAGTTCAAAATGCCGCATAAAGTTAATAGCTGTTTTTAAAGTAAGTAGCGAGTATAAACTTTAGATTTTAAATACTGTAGGCATATTAACTCAGGCCATTTAGAATATGAACCTCAAGGCTTTCTACTATATCAAAGATTTTTCATCACAACACACGGTCACACACAAAATTTGTCCTTATCTTGATCTACCCAGAGAACTTGCATTAACTCGAATTGGAGATGCACATGCAGATTACAGGGGAAAGAAGATTTCATTGTACTCATACTTCCTGCTGAGACAATCTGCAAAGTCAAGTTTGTATTGAAGTGAAGTTAGTATAAAATAAAGTCAAAAGTGGAAAATGTGTTATTTAAAATATACTGGATTTTCAAGTACTGTAACTATAATTTTTTATCAGATATGTGTCCAAATAATAATTCTTAGACCGAAGCTCCAAAGCCCAGAGTGAATACAGAGCTAATTTTGACAAAAAATGCTTTATATTAAAGACTGTATATATAGTATCTGAAATTACCGAAGACAAATGGGTGTTAATCAGTTAATCAGTTACTGTACAAAAAATTTTGTCATTTGATACACTCATACTAGTGTTAGAGCACTGAACCTAACACTTCTTTCTTCAGTTTTTTAGCCCACAAGACTTCACTTTGATATGACTGAACTGTAATATATTTTTAAAGAAAATCTATCGAGTATGCCTGGCTCTTCTTCTTAGTTGTAACCAAAAAAAAAGTGTTTTGTTTGAAAATATATATATTTTCCAAAGATGACTGATGTTCATCATTCTGCCCCTCACCACCATTTACTTCAACTTCACATACCTGTAGGTTAATACGATAACATTTCTAATGAAAGGTGGGAAATGCTTTGGAATTTTTTTTCCTTTGTTTTTCATCTGCTTATGATGGATCTTGAGTGGGAAATATAGAAAATGTCATTCTTGCTGTCATGGTTTGACCCCAGCTGGCAACTAAGTACCACACAGCCACTCACTCCTCCAGTGAGGAAACTCTGTGGATTGAAATAAGAAGTGTTTATTAACTGACACAAAATAAATTACTACTACTGCATAAATTACTACTACTAAAACTAATAATTGTACTGAAAAAGAGGGAGAAAAAAATAAATGCGGAGGGCACAGAAAGTGAGGAAGAAAAGTTTATTGAATGGAAAAAGACGGCTGCAAGAAGTTATGGCTGAGAACAGCGACGAATGAAGATATGATTTGAAGATATATAACATGATGCGGTTAAGACAGAGACTGTTATTAATTAGAATTGTTAATGCATGTTCGCTATTTGTTGTACCCCAGTTTTTATCAAATTTCATATTTTTCCCCTCAGAATTATGCCCTTTTTTCTATTGGTTCACATTTGCTGCACTGCAGATGTTTCTCTCATTGGTCCCTCCTGATCTCATGTTCCCTCCTTCCTTCCCTGGTTGGTTATCACCCCTGTCAATCCTATGCTCCTTCCTGTTTTCCAGAACCTTCCCACCTTACCCTATAAATAGAGCTAGACACCTTCAATAAAGGGAGATAGCCCCAAGCTGTATCACTCTGGTTGAACCCACGGGTTGTCGAGTCTTCTTTTTATGATGACTGCAGCAAATAACCAGGAGATAACAGTGATGTACAGTGTGGCTGCTCACCACAAAACACAGCAGTGTACCAGCTACTAAAAAGAAAATTATCTCTGTCCCAGCTAAAACCAGGACACTTGCCTGTGCTGGTCCACCAATTAATGCATTTTATTTTCCCTCTTTTAGAAAATAGTTTATCAAAGGCTTTGCAGAAAAATCAGCTGAACTTGTGTGATTACTGTCTGGTACTGTGGGAAATAATTCTGTAAACAGGACAATTCTTTCAAGCCTCTCTTGAATGCCTAAAGCTCTAATTTTGAGAAAGATGACAAGCTGAGTTGCCAAAAGCAAGGCATTTCCCCTTTTTAGTCAGATAATAGCCTTGGATTAAGCATTAAAAATAGTACACAAAGTACAAACACAGAGGGCTGTAATGTATTGTAACTTCTATTTTCTAACTCTGACGCCCCTATGAGGAATTCAAAACACAGGCTGCAAATGGTGTGAGAAATTGTTCTTTACTATCACAGGTTGATCAAGGAGGACAGATTTGACATTAAAAACTAATAGAAAAATAAAATGGTTTGGATGGGAAGGAGAGAGAGGAGAAGACCTGCGAGACTGAGACAGAGACCCCCCTGGGAGGAACCAGGGGGGTACAGAGAGCTAGAGAGCAGAGCATGAGGGAATTTGTCCCTCCCAGGTGTTGTCCAATGCACCTACCTGCCATGTATGCCTGATTTATTCAGTCAAAGAGGTCTAACTCTTCAGATTCAAAAAGCTACAATTCAGTATTGTAAAAGTGTATTTCTAGTTTCCAGGCTTTTCTGAGCAAATCTGAGAAATACAACTTCGTATTTCTTCACCACTATTGAAACAGAGGGCTCCATCATAAACAACTGACTTCTTTTACATTCAAACAGCCATCTTACTAGTGTAAGAGAAGAAAATAACAAGTGATCCTGATTACATACGGTAAATAATCATCAGTTATAAATTAATATTCTCAATAAAGAGTCATGTTTCCACTTAAAGAGAAGGGCTTAGACATTTCAAATCTATTGCAGATTATTACCAGAAAAAGAAGGAGAAGGATACTGGGGACTGGGGGTCTTCCTGACCACAGGAAACAACTAAACTCCCTGGTCTCTCACACAGAGAGCAGAGTCCTAGGCTGGCAGACTTAATCCCCTGGAAAGGGGAGACCCCCTGGCAATAGTGGGGAATGTTGATCAAATTATGGAGAGTGTACAAAAAGCTGCCTGCTTACAAATGATGCCATGACAGAGAGTTAACGCCATGACACAAATGCCCAGTGACGATGCCTGTGGACCCTGAGAGAATGACGCCCCTCATTAGAGGTCTCCCTGAATCCTTGAAACCCATGGGCATCCAGCTAAAGGGACAAATAGGAAGTCTTGCTGGTGGGGAAGAACTGTAGCCGCCTTAGAGGAAGTGGTAACCCCCAACCACAACCACAGTGAACATAAAACCTGGACTTGAGGGGAAGTGACACATTAATTAATTATGGAAGACAATACAGCCCAATTGTCCCTAGCAAAATTGGCTCCAAACTAATTCAGCACACAGAATGTAAAACACCTACATCCCCCATGGGACTCAGAAAAGTAACATTCTCCCTCAGGCAAGGAGGACGCATCCACACAAATGAAGAACACTGGAGAAAAAGAAACGCTCTTTGGATTTTAGACTTGCAAAAAGGAATCCCAAAAACCCTAATGGTCAGCAAATGCACGGATAAATCAGAGATATTAGTGGGTAGCTGAAAGAAGAACCCACAAAAGCTGTTGTCCCTGTTACAGTCCCACCTTTAGAGGCACCACAAAGGGGAGGAGGTGGGAAACCCCTTCCTTTGTCCTCAGTAGGAAAGCCGGGGGACAGAGAGTGTTTTTTTTCTGGCAGCTTACCAAAATCTCTAAAGGAGATTTACTAATAACCTGCCCTGTTGGTCCCCACAAAGTCCCTGTAACCTTTTAAATAGACATCGGAGCTCACATATCCACCCTCAAAGTTGAAGACACTTCTGCAGGTGGAATTGTTCCCTCACATGTTGTTGATGCATTTGGATACACCCAACCCTAAATAACAGTCAAGGTAAGATGCTGGTTACCGAGGGAGGAGAAAGTGATTGAAACCCTAACTGTTTTGTGGGAATTTCCTACTAATTTACTGGGGCTGGACCTCCTAATGGGAAGGTCTTAGATGCACAATAAAGAAGAAAATAAGAGCTTTTCGGAAGGAAACCCATCATTTGTTTTCTAGGCGCTGCCTCCCTGCTTCCTCCTTCCCTTGTAACCAATGTCAAACCTTACTCCTTACCCCTGGCAGCCAGAGAATAAATCACCCCAGTCACAGAATCAGATGTCCCACCTGGGATGGGTGGCCACACTGGCCAGACCATAAAAATAAAGGAGCACAGGAGCTCCATTTTGCCTTTTGTCTCAATATGATCTCTCTCCCTCTTGCTCCTTCTCTCCTCTTGCTCCCTCTGCTTTTCTTTCTTTGCTCTTTGATGCTCTGGGTGGCTTGGAGCTGCAGGGATTGGATTTCCGTCAAGTGTTGTGGAGTGACTGGATCTTGACTTAGTGTTGTGGATTAGTATGTGCTGGGTTGGTATTGTGGTGGAACTTTTTGTCTAGCTTGTGTAGTGCCCTTTTGAACTTTTGACAAGTTCCCTTATTTTCTCTCCTAAATTAATAAAAGTACCTCTTGGGAACAAGTCTGTGGCTTATTCTCTTCACACTGTCTTGAGATAATAAAGAACCCCATATATATATATATATTTTGAAGTAAAAGTCCTGGTTGAGCCCCTGAGCCTGCAGCTCCCAGGGCTAGAATGTTACAGGATTCCCAACCCTTCTTTGCAAATCAGCTTGGAGTCAGATCACCTGGCACAGAAAAAGGGCAAGGCCCAGTACAGTGCTTGGGGCTGAGGGCAGAGAGGTCAGAGGTCTCACTGGTGGCAGGTGCTCAGAGAGGCTTTGGGGACATGCTGGGTGTTCCAGTACCCTGCTCCTTCCCAGCTGGATCTGCTGAGCCCCCTGTCCTCTCACCAGGCCCTGTCTTCCACTCTTGTGTTCCCCCTGGCTCTGCTGCCCATCCAGCCCAGGCTGCAGCACCGTGACCAGACAAACGGATGCCTCAGGAAAGTCATCCCATAACAGAACCCTGAAAACAAGGGCTTTTTATTTGTTTTCCTTTGCTCTGAAAGCCAATAAACATTGTGACTGGCAACTATTAAAACAATGCAACGAATGCTTATAACTAATTTGTTTGAACGTGCTCCAGTCTAGAGAACACAAGATTCTATCTGTCACTAGAAGACCTTTCCAGGCATACACGGCACGAGTGTTCATTGCCTCTAGAGGCAGTTCACTCACAGCATCTCCCTGACAGAGAATTCCAGATAACTTCTTATAAATAAATATAGCTTGGAAAATAATGAATGGTTGGACACTTAAAACTCGTAAACCAGCTGGATTTAAGCACAGCAAAAAATTCTGACAGTATCTCAATGTGTGTTTCTCTAAGACTGTAGTGAATGTATAGATTTATTCTCCATCAGGATACAACTTCAAGGTATATCACAGGCTTTGGATTGTCGTGTTCTCAGTTGTTTTCTAAAGAGGCTTGAAACTGCTGTTAAGGGTGGGGGCACTTTTTTGTCACTGGAGTAACATGAAGTTTCTGAAATGTCAAGAAATAACGCTCGCTTAAATGCTTCAGTTTTTGATCCTCAAATTTTGATCCTCAAGCACTCTCAATTCGTGTTCCTCTAATGTTAAATTTCAATGTGAAATTCAAAAAAAGAAAAAAATCCTGGAGAAAATGCTTGAAATTCACACTATCCAAAGCTACTTGGCTTTGCTGAGTTTTCTGTAATATTTCACATACATTTGATGCAAGCATCTCTGTCATGCCTTACTTATCAGGCCTTAATTATTTTAAGTGAGACACACTTCAAATTCCCATAATTAGAAACCTAGAAAGGGGGCTTGGTGTCTTGTCAAGGCTGCAAGATTCAAGAGCACCATTTAATTCCCCCCCTCCCCCCTCCCCATAGCCAGGGAAGGAAGACAAAGGAGTTGTTTGTGTTGATGGTGCTGATGGTGCCCAGGTGGCAAGAAAGGCCGATGGCATCTGGCCTTTATGGGGAATAGTGCGGCAGCAGGACCAGGACCATCCACCTGTGCTGGGCACTGCTGAGGCACCTCCAATCCTGGGGGCAGTTCTGGGACTCCCAATTCAGGAGACACATTGAGGGGCTGGAGCATCTCCAGGGAAGGGAACAGAGAATAGGGAAGGGTCTGGAGCACCAGGAGTGGCTGAGGGAGCTGGGGTGGCTCAGCCTGGAGAAAAGGAGGCTAAGGGGGGACCTTCTTGCTCTCTGCAAGTCCCTGACAAGAGACTGTGGCCAGGTGGGGGTTGGACTCTGCTCCCATTGGACCCAGAGGGCAAAGCCTCAAACTGCGCCAGCAGAGATTTAGATTGGAAATCAGGAGGAATTTCTCAGAAAGGGTGATTAAATATTTGAATGGGCTGTCCAGGGAAGCGGTGGAGTCCCCGTCCCTAGAGGTCATTAAGGATTAAAGACTGGACGTCTTTAATCGGCTGTACCACTCAGAGCTGTGGTCTAGCTGACTGCTGTTCGATCACAGGTTGGACCAATGACATCAGAGCTTTCTTCCAACCTGATTCCATGGATTATGGAATTTTAACGGAGCTACACTTCAGATCCCCCTAAACAGAAATCCAGACAGTGTGCCTAACAGTTCTTCAACGCTGCGAGGTTTAACTGCACCGTGTAATTTCCTCTCCCCGCTCGCCCGCCCCTCCTCCTCACCGCCAGCGTGGCACTAACCTCGTCCCGCCCGCGCCGCCATTTGATGCGTGAGGAGCGAACCACGCAGTGGGCGCGGGAGGGGAGGAGCGAACTCCCCCGCGTGGGGCCGATGGACTCGTCGGCGCCGCGGGGCCGCTGCAGACGTGGCAGGGCGGGGTGGCGCGGGGCCTGCTGGGAGCTGTAGTCCCCGGCAGCGCCGGGGACCTTCCTTCATCCCTGAGACGGGAAAGGCCGCGAACGGACGGGCCGGAATAGAGGTGATTAAGGCTCGGTGAGGGCGTTTGCGGCGGCGGGAGGAGGTACCGCGTTGTGACCCGTCGAGGCCGCCGGCGGGGAGGAGCTGGCAGAGGGCTGGGCCAGGCGGTGCCGGGGTCCACGCCGGCTGCGGGAGGTGCGGGGTGTGTGGGGCTCCTTCCTCGTGTCCTGTCCTGGCTCGTCCTTCCAGCGGCTCCTGCGCTCCCCCTGCGGACACCGCTGTGCTCCGAGGAGAGGTGAGGGTCAGGGAGAGTTCCCGGCGGGATTGTCCCGGTGCCTCGCTGGGTCCCGTGTGTTGACCTGCCTCTGCCTCCCACCGAGCTTCCTCCGGGCTCTAGAGGTGTTTGGGACCTCAGGGCTCTGCTTTCAGCGAGGAATGGGAGCGTTGGTCCTGCTAAACCCCCTGTGGTTTCATCCCAAATTTGCTTGACTGGCAGTGGGAATCCTCGCCCTTGGGAATCTCTTAATGTCGTATAGAAGCGGCGCTTCAGGAGGTTTATTACTTCTTTCAGTGTCGCTGGAGGTATTATTTGCCCCTTTTTATGATTGTTTTTATTGTCAGATTAAAAAAAAAATATTTTTTTTTTTTGGGGGGGGGGAAACACCTCTGAAAGTGGTGGAGCTGTTGCATCCCATCCCATGATATCCATGTCCCGAATATGATAGCAGTGTGTGTGTGATTAGTGCAGATTGTTGGGATGTACAGGTGGCAGTTCCTTTGATGGCATTATTTGATGGTGTTATGTAGTTGTATGTGTAGATCAGTGGTTCTCCCACTGTGTTCATCAGTGGTCTGTGAGCTTTTTGATGCTTAAATATTTGGTAATGGGGGGTGGTGGTCTGGTGGAAACCCTGAGGGTTGGCACTGGCACAGAGAATGTGTGAAAAAAAATAATTCTAATTCCAATAATTCTGATAAGGTTAGGAAGCTTTTAGGCCTGCAAGAGTCATAAAGCAAGGCTAATCCTTACTGTCACACCGGGTGTTTCCAGCGGTCTTGGTCTGTGTTAGGTCAGGCACACTGGGTTCTGGCTGGTGAACAGACTTCTTTGCATTTGTTTTTGGGTTTTTTAAAGATGAAAAGGAAATGAAAGTGTTGTGATTAACATTATGCTATGAATATAGAATCATGGGATGGTTTGGATTGGAAGGGACCTTAAAGACCATCCAGTCCCATCCCCTGCCATGGGCAGGGACACCTTCCACTATCCGAGGTTGCCCCAGCCAGGCCTTGTACACTTCCAGGGATGGGGCAGCCACAGCTTCTTTGGGCAACCTGTGCCAGGGTCTCACCACCCTCACAGGGAAGAACTTTCTCCTAATATCTGATCTAAACCAACTTTCTTTCAGTTTGAATATTTTTCACTATCTGCTGATAAATACATCACATTCTGCATTGAACTGTGTTACAAAACAATATATAATCAATAAATTCCACAATATTTTTTCTTGTGATTTTCTAGCTCATGTCAAAGCTCTGAAGTGCCAGTGTTTACTTGGATGAAGCTCAATTTAACCACCCCCCAAAATAAAGAGTGCACAGCAGTGTTTACCTTCTGCAATCAGCTTCGTTATCAGCTGGAGAAAAGTTGACTTAGCTTCAGTTCTCTACTCTAAAGCATTAATCAGGAAAACTTATGTTACGTAGCACTGCTGAGACCAGCTCAGTTTCAAGCCAAGGGATGAACTCACACACAGGTGCATTGTGACATCAGTAAGAATCCAAATACTCAGAAAATATACAACAGGTATAGAGAATTCTGGGGATTTGGTTTGGGTTTTTTTAATTTGTTTTGTTGGTTTGGTTTTTTCCCCTCTGTTTAAGGCTTTGGACTTTGGAACAAGTCATTTTAACACAAGGTGATTAAACAGATGATCCCTCTCTGCCCTTCCTTTGGCTTTGGTGAGACTTTGTGTGCCCTCAGGGTTTGTCTGTGTTCTACAGATCAGATGCTGAAAGAAAGTTTGTCCCTGACTTTGTGCTCACCCTTTCTAAAGCAGAAAAAACAACCTGAGGGATTTTGCAGATGAAATTTAACATACAATCCAGCTCTGTTTTGGTTTGATTTTTTAAAAGACAGTTGTCGTTTTGTTTGATGTCAACTTCACTTTATCTCTGACAGCTGAAGATGTTTCTTCTGTTGTTTCGTGAGGAGTTTTTATTAGCAGAAGCACTTACTGAAATAGAGAAAAGGGTTAATTAAAGATGACTGAAAATACAACCTCATTATAAATTCTCAAGTATGGTTGATTTCTAGATACTGTGTTTTTATCCATGTGAAATTTGCTAATCTCCATTTGTAAGTAATCTTATCATTAGCTGTGAATTTCTATATTTTAGAGTAATAACCTGAAGAATGCTTTTGAAGTGGTTATGTCATTAAGATTATTGCAAAACATTAGCACAAATGTAATTACTTCCTATTAAACTAAAGTGAAAAGATGAATAATTTGCCAGTTAAGCCTTTTAGTCTCTAAATCAAATTATTTCATTCTTGCTTTTTAACACGAGCCCTGTCAAGATTTTCAATCAGAGCTTTACTGTCATTTTCTGTTGAGTGCACAAACACCTTGCATTTCAGAATTAGGTTAATGGCTGAAATATGGTTTTAGGTTAATGCATGAGGTTCAGCTGGTGAAAATCAGTAAAAGTAGTTACCAGTCAACTAGGGATAGTGACGTGGGTTTATTTTCTTTGTGTTATGTGGGAGTTTAACATCATCTCTATAATGTCTTCATTAGTACTGAAAAGGTTACTTTTTTAACCAAATAATTGATGAAAGCCTAACAAAATTCATGCTTCTACTTCTTAAAGGGGCTATTTTAAGGATGACTGGGAATATGGGTTTTCTGTATTTCTCTTTTCCATATCCCTTCTTTTTTACTGCCATGTAACCATAACATAAGATTTTCTCCTACCAAAACATGGTGAGATGGTTAAATTTGTGAAATCAATTTATCATCACAAATCACTAGATGGCAGTACTGATGTTATTTTCACCTAATTCCGCGTGCTTCACTTTGCCTGTCTCGGGATTTCTCCTTTATAGGCTGGCAAGGAGGCACAAAAGTCACTTCCTTCAGAAGTTAGGCTGACTTTTCCTGTTTTCAGGTCCTAATTGTTGAAAATCATGTGTTTATGGCTTGGGTTATGAAGAATTATTGCTATTACTTCTGGTTTTTTCCCGAAATCACTAAAAGACAGTTACAGTTACACCTGTTTTCTTCTTTGATTTTGCATATTCCCATGTCTTGTCTTGTCGGTTTTTTTTTAATTATTTACCTTTTTTCATGCAGCACATGCAAACTACAACTGACTTAAGTTGAGAAATCAGTATACAAAAAGCTGTTATTTGTGCAGGCTTATTAGTCAAGGCTTAATTTAAGTCAGTTCCATTGTAATTGTATTTTAGCAACTGACATGATTTCTGCACATTTGGGATTACTGATTCTGTTCTTCACCTTTCTCATTGCTAAACTAATTGTGAAAAGCAACTACAGAGTAATTTACCTTTCTGCTAATTCCTGATTTTTCAGATGTGACTCAGCCGACTTCTCGTGGGTTGCCCCTTCTCTCTCACCCTTGCCCAACTAGTGTAATAACTTTCTGAAGCTTTACAACATCGTTGCACAGAGCTGATCTGTGCAACTTTTTCAGTCATTCTACATGGCCACAGAATTTATTTTAAGTGGGAAGCACCTCTCAGCAGTTTTTAATCATGGCATTAGGTGTAATCAAGCAGCAGATTAAAAGAGCCTTGATAAAACATTCCTAGGTTTTGGTCAGTGATTCTTTTAATTGCACAGTGGATAATTCTTCCTTGCTTCGTAGTGTCTGATTGGAAGAAGAATGACTTCAAAAATACCTCTGTGTGCAGGAATGTAAACTTCTGTAGATTGATTAAAATAAAGAATCTTAATACTTCAAGTTCTTCTGCTTGGTGAAGTTTAATGAAAGACTTTGCTATTCCTTTCTAAGGGGTGGTGAGATGTACTCATTCTGCAAGGACAGTCTATTCCCCACCAAACAATTATTGACCCTTTTATCCCATCTGAAAAAAAGATGTTAAATGAATTAGAGATCCTCACAACCTAAAATCCGTCTGTCATAAGAGTTTTCTTGGAATGCTACACATAAGCCATGTTTACTTTCTTCCTGAGGCTGGTCTCAAGCTTTTAATCTTAAATCACTTAATGCAAATTACACTAGTTTATCAGAGGGACTGTAGTTTCTCCTGTGTGATTTTGATGCTTTCATTTGTTTTTTAAACTCTTTGTGCACCTGTCAAGACTGACATTGACATCCTCCTTTCTGGATTTCTCAATATGGTAATAACAGTAACTTTTCCTCCGTATTAGATTAGGAGTTGTATATACATTTAAAACAACAGTGAGGTATTGAGGGACTTTTTGTTTTGTTTTGGTTTGGTTTTTTTTAAGAGAGGAAAACCCCTGTATTTTTGTAAGTGGAGTTCTGATTTAATGGATGTGGTGGAAAATGTTTTAAGCCTGTCTATTTTTCATATATATAATTCCTTTATATAGGATTTTTATTTCATTAAAACTTCCTTAAAAACTGCTGCCTCAGGGAGTGGTGCAAATCATCACTGTCTAGTTTACCAGACTGTTGAGGAAGCAGGGTTTTTGGTAAACTACCTCTGCACTGAAGAACAAAAATCACCCGGTGTTCATGAAAATCTTAATTTTGCATCTCTCCTTTTCTTCTGAGGCCTTGTACTTTAATTTAGGATTGTTAAATAAGGCATATAGCTCTACTTTTCTAGAAATAATGTATTCTAAAGATTTACCCAGCTGTGTTAAAAGGTACTTCCAATGTAAACTGGCCTTCACAATAAAACCCAAAGCTTTCAATTAACTTTCACTTCTAATAACATCACCAGGGAAGTGTGGTATTTGGATTTTACAGGAATAGTCTGTACTGGAAAACTTGTTCAGTATAAATTAATTTCGCTGTAATTTTATTCATGCTGGAAGTAAAAGGTCCTGATTTGGGTTACTACAGCTCAACAATGCAGCAAAATACTACCCCATAGTTAAGTTTTTCTTGGGATATGGGTTTTGTGATATGTAATTACTTTTGTGTTTTTACTCTTTTAAGTTGAAAGCAGTAGCTGGGCATGCACAGTAAGGTTTTTAGAAAGAGGCCTGGAGTTCGAGGTATTATCACAGTCCTAAAAATAAAGGGAAGATACAGGAGAAATGAGACATGATGGATAATTTTGTCCTTGAGATAAGTAAATTTTTTTCCCAGACTTAGTATTTGAGCTACTTGCTTAGTTCATGGATGTAAATAACTGTGTTGTGGCCTTTGCCTTCTAATTTAAAATTTTTCCCCTTGTTTCTTAAGATACTTTTGTTTTTTCCCTCACAGCTTTGTATAGCTGAAGGAAAATGATGGAAGAGAGTGGAATAGAGACAACTCCACCTGGCACGCCCCCACCAAGCTCAGCAGGGGCTGCTACTGCTGCAGCACCTGTCTCATTAGGTACAAAAACATTTATTCATGTCTTTTGAAGCACTACAGTTAATCCAAAACCATTGCAATTAGCATAATTACAGTTCTCTTCTCCAGGCTACTTGGAAGAATTTAAGTTGTTTTTTAATCATGGAAGTGTGCTCCTTCTCTTACGTACATCTGACACACAGAATATTTTAAACATTTTCTAATTCTTGAAACTATTTTATGAAGTCACTTGTGTTTTTTTAAGGATGCAGGGCCAGGGAAATAATACCTTCCACTACAGTGCGCAGTTAGATGAGCAGCATAGTAGGGAGTTAAAAACAAAACAGATTTACAGTCCTGTAGAGGATGGTGGTAAACCTTGGATTTTAGTATTCATAGACTCCTAGACTGGTTTGGATTAGGAAGGACCTTAAAAGTCATCTTGGAATGGGTAAGGACACTTTCTACCAGACTAGGTTGCTCCAAGCCCCATCCAACCTGGCCTTGAACACTTACAGGGATGGGGCAGTCACAGCTTCTCTGGGCAACCTGTGCCAGGGCCTCACCACCCTCACAGGGAAGAATCTCTTCCTAATATCTGATCTAAACCTGCCCTCATTCAGTTTATAGTCATCAGCCTTGGCCCTATCCCTACATGCCCATGTCAAAAATCCTTCTCCAGTCTCCTTTAGGTTCTGGAAGGTGCTATAAGGTCTCCCTTATTGTGGCTTGTAGTCAAAGCATTTTATCTGATTTTGCAAGATTCTGAACACCATATTTGAATACCAGATACTTAATTTTTTGGCACATTTGGTATTGAGTCAGACTGGTGCAGTGGATCCGAGGGGGTGTGCAAGGCAATTTACTGGGGCATGGGAAGGAAACACTAGAACTGTTCCCTCTTTTCCTATCACTGTCTGCCCATGTAAAAAGTCACTCTCCCTCTTTCTTAGAAGCCCTCCCTCAAGTACTGAAAGGCTCCTATAAAGTCTCCCCAGAGCCTTCTCTTTTCCAGGCTGAACATCTACAGCTCTCTCAGACTGTCTCTTTAGGAGACTAAAATGGATTTGTCAGCAAGCACTTTTGGAAGATGCATAGAAAACATTGGTGAAGACTTAAAGGAACAAGTATAGAACAAATTACATTGGGGGCTTGCTGTACAGTTTCATGGAAGTCTGGATGTTCCTAGTGTGTCTAAGTTCTGTTTCAAAATATACAAATAATGTATTGTCAAACGCTGTAGGAGGAATATGCTGAGAAAATCTGCCCTCAACAATAGGACGGCGATAATAAAAACAATGTTTTTATTTAAACTGTGGAATTGTAACCTCTGATGGAGAAGTTGCTTTTAACTGGGATAAAAATGGGTTCTGGAATAAGGTTGCAGAGATACCATCACACATGAAACATATTCACTGCCTCCATTCCTAGGGAAGCCGTTGCAGCAAAGAAACTGGAGCCAGAAGTGCAAAAAATGTTACAGGATGTCACCAATGTTGTTAATTTTATAGAAATGGCCTTTAAGTAGTAGATTTTTTTACAGTATTTTGTAATGAGATGGGGGGTGACCATGAAATACTTTTTTCGTATTGCACAATTTGCTGGTCACCATTGGCAAGGTGTTGTAGAAGAGTTGTTAAACTCAATGTTGACATGAACTTTTTTTTTTTTACAAAAAGAAGAGTGTCCCAGATTTGCTGATGCTTTCTGTGATGACAAGGGGCTTTCAACAGTGTGCTGCCTAGCAGATATTTAAAAAAAAAAAAAATGCACTCATAATTTGTCCTTTCAAGGTAAAGGTGGCATTCTAACAAGAAGTGCTACAGGAGCTACTTTTGTAAGAAAGTCGTGCTTTTGAGAAAGCACTTTGAAAACTGATATTTGGAAATGTTCCCATCATTATACATTCCTGTTGCCAAAACCAGTCCAAGTGTTCCATAAAAACTGTCAGATCTGTACACTTAAACTTGGAATGAGAAGATGTAAAAATTATTGAGGTTTCTTCAGTGGCACTGCTCACTCTAAAAAGCTGCTATCAATAATTGTATTATATAGCACATTAATAATTATTAATTTATTATTATATTGAAAGTATATTAATAAAAGAATTTTGAGTGGAAGCAGAAGAGTCTTTGTACTGTTAAAATTTTTTCATTCATCTTTATCTCATCCTTTTTACATTTTTGTTGTGTATGTTTTGTAACATATATAACATACTAGTGCAGTGGTACATGTAAATAATTTATAAATAAATAAATTTACATGGGGAAGTGCTCAAAATTTTTTTACCGATAGGTGTTTGTGGTAAAGTTTGGAAACCACAGTGATTTGCTGATTGTGATTGATGTTTAAGCTGAGACCAGTAAGCTGCTTAAGCTGATCCAACATCTTACTGCTATCAAAAATGGTAATTTCTGGTTTTCTGCCTTAGTTTATTCTTGAAGATGAGAGTGTCCTGCATTGTTGATAAGCAGTCACTCAGAAAGAACAGTACTAGCTAGAAAATTGGGGCAGATTTCAGCTGGTCTAAGTTCAGTAGTCAAATGTTGACTTATCTTTTTAAGCTTGTGACAAATAGGGTCATGCAAGAAAAAGGGATGTCTTACAAAGATTTTGTCACCAAAGGTTGAGTGCAATTGGTGGTGTGTGAAAAGTCAAGCAAGACTAAAATTAGCTTTGAAGGGGGAAGAAAACCAGACCAGGTCAAAATTTACTTGTGAAGGAACTGAAGGCTTAGCATTTCTAAAATTACTTTTTTTCTCTTTTTTCCCCAGCTTTGTCCAGTCCCCTTTCTACACCAAGCATGTCCTCTTCTCCTACATATTCACCATCCTTGCCAGCTGGATTGTCTCCAATTCCTCCTCCTCCTCCTCCTCCTCCTCCTCCTCCTCCTCCTCTGATGACTTCAGCTTCTCTCCCACCTGTGCCTTTTGCAACGATTTCTTCTCTTGCACCGTCTCAAAGTCCTGCCCTACCTCTTGCTTCCCCTTTAGCCTTTAGTACCCCCATGTCCCAGTTCTCTGCTCCTCCTGCCGTCAAGTTTACTGCTAGCTCTGGTCTTCCTGCACCTCCCACTGGTCCCCCCATTTCAGGTTTTTCCATGTCCTCAACCTATGATATCACCAGGGGTCATGCTGGTCGAGCACCGCAGAGCCCACTGATGCCTTCATTTTCTGCAACTCCAGTCACAGGTAACTCTCCGTTTATATGATTTCCTGTTTGTGAGACAGGATGAGTGGTCTCCTGGGTGGCTTTTTTTACACCACTCTGCTACTTCAACTTCTTTATAATTATAGGTACACTTAATTAGCATAGTTGCACTCAGGAGAAGGGATAATAGCCTTTAAAATAGTCATGGTCCAGGACAGCGAGTCCATTTTAGTGGTGTTCTGGTAGTGTTCAGGTTCACAGAAAAATCTTTAAAAACTTTATTTTTTGTTAACTTGCACAGGAAAGCCTTGCTGAACATACATAGCTTTTGTCTAACTCAGAGAACCACCTTCACCTATTTTATTTCCCCAGAATGGTATATCTCAGGCTGTAGTTTCATAATTTTCAGGGTTTTGTTCTCAAAATCTATCTACAACAAGCTGTACATCGCATGACAGCAGTCTTTTTTGTTGTTTCCAGTCACTAAATTGCATTAGGACAGCTGAAAACACATACCTTCCATGAAAACAGTTGCTGTTGTTGCTGAACTGATGTCATTTTAAGCTAGTGGAGTGGAATGGAAACTTGACTCTCAGCTGCATTTGGGCCAGGCTTTTAGTGTTATTGGTGATACCTCTTTTAAGTAGTCCGTATTAGGAAAATGTCTAAAAAGAGCTATCAGTTGTGCAGTGTAAAATAAAAATAACTCTTGATTAAGGCTAGGTTGGAAAATCAGTTGAAAATGGGCAAAGGCTCATGCTTTATTTTTCTACTCTTTAGTTTCTTTTGTTTTCCTTTGAAATATGTAAACCTTTCTCCTTTTTCTACTGGTACTAATTTCCACCACCCAGTGTTAGAAAATTTCCTACTTCTCTTATTGTGTGAGAACATTCCTATCTCTTTGTTTAGAGAGTAACACCTATTGCTCTCTTTGCTCTACGGAGGGTTTATTTTGAAAATTTGAAAAGGATTAAAGGAACAACTTTTAAATTAACCTGATAAGAAAAAAAAATCATTATTTAACTTTGTACGTAATGTACAGCAGTCTCAGTTCTTTTAGAAGATATCGTTGAAGTAGTTTTTAACAAGCAGAATTGTTCTGAGACCTTCAAGAAGTGAAGTGAATCAGCCCAGTATTCTTCTCTTCTTCCTGCAGTTTTCCTGTCAAACTGCACGTTGCTACAATATAACAAATTAACTGCAGTAAAATAAGTGAACACTTGTATTTTATTTGTCCCTCTTAGGAGGTGTTTTGGCTGATCCCATCACTCAACAAGCAACTTTCTCATCATCTTTGTCTCCTGGGGTTGGCTCTGCAATCACTTTTCCTGAGGAGCATGAAGACCCCAGAGTATCTACTGCCCATGGTGGAGCACCTGCTGGAGGGCTGTGGGGGTTTATAAAGGTATGGGAGTTTGTCTGTTACCTTCATGAGGAATTACCATTTTTTACTGACTATAATAAGATGTATCTTATTTTTTAAATACTCGTTGCTACAAATCCTGTTTATTTTCCAGTCTCATGTGCAAGGTGACTGTTTTTAATAGTGGTGTTTGCTGAAACTATGCTTTTGCTCTTCCTCTGTATAGAAGAGAAGGGGTTAGACAAATGCAGGTGTTCTAGGTTAATTTTAGTCCTGTGATAGGAACATACCTATCAGGTTCTGTCACATGTTCTTAAGTCAGATGAAGTTTTAGAACCTCTGAAAGACCTGAAAAGTAACTTTTACTTCACAGTGACTGAATGCAGAAGAAGATGGTCTGGTTACCTCACCTGAACGCTTTGCATATCACATTTATAATTTCCTAATTAACTGAGTTTGATTTCTATGGGATGCAAACCATGCTTGTTCTGTAACAAGTAAGATATTCTGTAACAGGTCTTTTTTCAAAGAAAGACAAACTGTGTATTTTCTCAATCACAAAGAAGTGTCTAAGATACTTTGTAAGATTATTCTGCCAGAAGGCATGGAATATATAGTGCAGAACAGATTCTCCTTGTGGTGCAATCTAATCAGACAGACAAAATAAGCAGCGACATCCTCTAGTAGAATATCATTAGCCTGTAACCTGTTTGGAGCTGTAACAGATGCTACATATAAGTAGCATCATGAAGATTGTGGGGAAAAAAACTATCCTCAAGAGCAACACCATTTTCTGTACTGTCTCATACTAAATGTGAAAGAATCAAGTTTAATGTCCCAGCAGGGTTGCAGAGTTTTCAAGGGAGTTGCAAGCCCTTTTGAACATGAAAAGCTGGGAGGAAAAGTTGTGTGTGACATGGCAAACTGAGCCCTCCCCTACTATTGAATTACACAGTGATACAGTCTTGAAGAGCAAGATTAATTCCCCATCAGTACAGCAAGAGCAGAGTTGTTATGCTGCCCTTTTCAAGGAGAGATGTCTTCTTATGATCATAAAAACACATCTTCTTTCATCCTTTAAATATCAATGTCCTCCTTTCAGTCATTACATTCATCTTAATATTTGCAGTTTTCCAGAAGGGAATATTTTACTTGTGACATGATTCTGTAGCCCTTTTTAGAGTACCAGAGCTTTCAATTGCAAATCAGTTGGAAAACCAGTCTCTTCCACATTGGTGTTATCTACTGTTGCTACTAGGATCCAGAAGGTGTCCTGTTTGTATTTATGGAGAAGGTCAGTATTATTGACTTCAATAATGAAGCCCAGATTGTGGTTGAAGTATGAAGCGTTCCATGTGCTTTGCGTGTTCAGTGACCTCTTCTTGAGAATTTCCCAGGTGAACGAGGAAAGAATGAAGAATTGTTAACTACACTGAAAGCACCAAGTTCTTGATATATGTAAGGACACCTCAGTCTGTGTTTTTTAAAGGTCAGACAGAATATGGGACTTAAACTGGTAGTTATTACAGAAATGCATCTGGAATTCCCTACTGAAGAGCTTAGACAATAGCTACAGCAGTTATCTTTAATTCTGTTCTTGAAATAGTTTGAAATACCCTTTTTCCCTTGGTATTCTTAAGAAATCATACACTGTTCTTCCAGATTTCCTTCAAGCTAGATAATACCCCAAACTATGACAATAATCTAAAATTGACAAGTTAATGATCTAGAATCAAATGAGATTGTGTCAGTTCCAAGATTGATTTCTACCTAATGTATCAGACACAAAGTTGCATACTATTGCAGTCATTGCACCTGACACCTTGCAGGTTTGACTGTTTGAGCAATGAAGGCACCCAGGACCTGAATTTTCAACTTTTATTTTGTGCGCTGCTTACATGGAAGATCCTCCATTTGAGCAATCTGGGTTTATGTTGCCTTAGAATTGACTGATAGGAATTTCAAGTTTAACTGCATTGTAGTTCACAGTATGGTGGTAAATTCATGTTTTACATTGGTATAAAAGTGTGGATTATTTCTCCCTGTTTGTGCTTGGCAGATGAACACATTAAGGCATCTTCCATAGGTAGAAGCTGCTCAGGAACCATCTCTGTAATGACTTTGTGTTAGTTAGGCAGCCAGGCTGCTAATTGGAGAAGCACTGCTTGGCTTTGCAAGATAATGGGGCTGTTTCTGCATTAATGCAGAAGATAATATTTAAACTTCCTGGTGTAACTGAAAAGCTGTGTAGTGTTTGTGCTGAGTTATGACATACAACAAGCCATTAAAAAGTGTAATGGTTAGAAACATACAAAGCAGCTTAGTATTTTTTATTTCTTTCTTTTTAACTGTAACATTCTGAATTTCTTGAAGGGAGGGAAAGAAAACAGAAGATAATATGGAAATGTATTTGCTTAAATTTAGGGTGTAGCTGAGAATCCCATGGTGAAGTCTGTTCTTGATAAAACCAAACATTCAGTGGAGACCATGATCACAACACTGGATCCTGGCATGGTTCCCTATATCAGTAAGTGTTTATGACAAACCATTGGATGTTGCATATAAATGCCAGAGAAGTCAATATAATAGCATACTACTTTTATACTTGAAATGTAGAAGTATTTCAATTACATCTTGAAAATTAACAGGAAGGATAAGCACTGTGGTATTCACCATTTTTATTTTACTGGATTCCATTGCATGTCACATACAAGCTGACCTGAGATTCCTACTTTGTTGAAATGGAGAAGCAAAATGCATAATTTGTACAGGGTGATGGTGTGGTTTCGTTTTTTTGGCCTGGCTTTTTTCTCCTAGCAGTGTGATAAGCAGTCCTCCTCCTTAGGTGTACCAGTACTGCCCTTGGTCTGCATATAAATGAAGCTGGTCAGGACACTGCCAAGACTGAGAAGAAACCATTAAAATGATTTTTGTTTTTTTAATTTTGTTTTTCTGAGACTTTTTTTTTTCAACTGGACCTGTTCTGACCCAGTAACTACGTTGCTGCAGTGCAAAGCTACAGTGCAAAGCTACAGTAAATGTTGATTATATACAGTTTGGCAAACTGTATTTAAGCTTTATGTTGCAGTCATGACTGTCCCTTTGTAATATGTCAGTATCCTGTGTAGTTTGACACAGTATGTATTGACAGATCAACTTTATTTAGAGGATGAATTATTTCTAATAAAATGCTTTGCTTGTAAGATTCAGGTCTAGTAAGCTAATTCAGTAGTTATCTCAAAGTTCTCTAAAGTCCTGTTGGAAGGAAAAGCATCTGTATACATCTTGGACAACTTGGACATTTATGTGCTGCATTGTTTTTGTAGTTGCAGTTGTGGAAATAGGGCAGAGATTCATATGTACTTCCTTGTAAAAATGTATTCTGGCATCAACAAAAACCATGTGCCCAACAACAAATGGCCTCGCTTCTCTCTGGTCTCTCTCCATTACTGCAGTGCCCAAGAAATGTGATCTTCCTCATGCCAAAACCTGACATTACCAAAGCTTCTGGATGAGGTGGTTGAAATTATTTTTTTTCATCTAAGCAAATAGTATTTCTGTAGTCTCTTTCTTGAAAAGAGCTGAACTGTTTTCATTGGCACATTGTGAAGATGTCATCTGAGTCATGCACCTGGAATAGACAATTTCTGTCTACCTAGGAAATGGTCACCCTGTAAGCATAAACATCAATGCTTTTATAACAAAAGATGTCAGGGAATCTTAAATTGAGTGTGTAAATGTTATTTCAGTTTATAATACACAGTGAAATTTCACAGTCAAGTGTCAGAGCTTAACTTGATGTGACAATTCTGTCCCTGATTTTACCAGGGTATACCCTAGTTCTTATATTTGAGATTTTAGTATTTCTGTATTTCCTAGTGTGTGGCAGATGTTATCACAAATGTTTTCATTTAATGCATGTAATATCCTTGTTTCTCTTTTGTAGTAGTATCTGTGATGAACAAAGATATGCTTTTGCTATTTGATGATCCTTAATACAAAAGGACATATTCTGTATTCTCCATCTAAACATGGGGCACAGTTACTGTTCTTAGCGTTGTTATGCAGTAATTTACTAGATCTGTTATGGATTAGTTTTTAGCTTCATTAGAAGCTCTTTAACAGTATTTCTGTTCCTGGGCGCTCAAACAAGGCTAACTTCAGTAAATACCTGCAGTCAATTTTAAGCACTTGTTTAATTATATTAAATTCATTTGTATCCAGAAAGAATCCATGAAAAAATATACTCTCAATTATTTTTTAATCCAGTAGTTAACCAGTGTTTAAAACAATTGCCCGAAGTTCAGTGATGTGTACGTTCAATTCCATTCAGTAAAGCAATTGATAAATAAAGTTAAAAAATTACCCCTAAAAACCCCAAATAGTATGTTTTACTACTGTTCTGGCATATCTCTGGTGATTCTTCATAAAAATAAGACGATTCCTGTAGCTGAGATCTGCTGTGTAATATGAGCAAAAGAGTAGATTGTTCTTTTCTTTGAAATTTAAGCTTCGGGTTTACCATTATCACTGGGGGAACTTTTGCTGTGATAGACAGATGTGAGGTATGATTGAGCTCATCAGTCTTTTGTAGTAGTTTATGATTTCTTTTAATTCATGAATTGCTTTGTTTTATTCTAAAAAAGCTTAGTGAAAACTCCTGCTTCTTTATGGAGATACCCCCCACTGGAAAACACTCAGAACTGTATGCAAGTTTTTGGTTCTATAGATATTTAGCATCAAAAAACAGGATAAAGCATTAGGGAGGAAAACAAGTTTACACTCCAAGGGCGACTAAAAAGTAATGTGAGCCTTTTTTTTAAAAATGATGTAATTTGACAGCTGTTCACTGGATTTTATGTTCTTGATCCCTTTCATAAGGAAGAGTTTGTGTGTGACACCAGCATTCCTTACTGCTTCCCAGAACACCAACACGTCCTTAGAAATGGATGTCAGTTTTCCTAAAGCTCTATAAATTGTCATCTTATATGGGTGCTCTGGTTTCTTTCAGGTGCTGAACAACCATCAGTTCCTGTTGTTTCTCTTTCATCCATGCTTCACTTACCTATTCATCTAACTTTTACTTCCTAGCTTAAGTTACTTCTGTTTCATAAAATAACTATTGTACAGTGCATGAGAAAGAGGAGAGCAGCTGAAAAATACTGTTGAGATGGAGAATGTATTTGAACTGTCTAATAATGGGAATGAGGAAAAATACATGCACATGTGTATTTTACAGATTACAAAATTATTTTACAGGAACTGGGGGAGAACTGGACATAGTGGTCACTTCTAATAAAGAGGTAAAAGTGGCAGCAGTTCGGGATGCCTTTCAAGAAGTCTTTGGAATGGCTGTTGTTACTGGAGAGGCTGCACAATCTAACATTGCCCCCCAACCTGTGGGCTATGCTGCAGGTTTAAGGGTAAGTTGATATGTAACAGTACCCAAGTACCACCAACACAGAGATTCACCCAGAAGAATCTCATTTTCCATGAAGTGGAAGTCAGTTTGGGGGATAGGTAAACATTTTCTTTTGAGTTTGTTTTTTTTTTTTTTGGTGTGTTTGGTTGGTTGGTTTGTTGTTATTTTTTGGGGGGTGAGGCTTTTGTTTGGTTTGGTTTAGGATTTTTTCCCATTTGAATCATCAGACCAGTTTAGAGCTGCTTGTTGAAAGATTTTTTTGAGTTTTTTTGCAAACACATTCACAGCAAGTTAAGATTATTTATGTCAGTTTTCTTATACTGTCATTGATTGCCATCGCATCTTGTGTACATTGTGATATTACTGTAGTTTGAAAGTACATCAGGCATTTTTGGATAGTCTGTGACTAGCAAATCATGTTGGGAATACTAGAAATTAAAAGAGATTCTTTGAGACTGAATTGCCTCCCTGATAATTCTGTAGATGAAAGATTGTTTGATTAACACTTGTCAGAGATCATCGCAAACAGATCTATGTTCTGTTTGAAAAGTAATTCACTGTGCAGCCTTGCAGACTGCTGTGCTGCCCCAGAGGAAGGGTTAGCAAGGGTTTGGCCAATAACTAAAAATCCTGAAAACAGCTATTTAGCATTGCGTTTTTTAAATGTTAGCAAAAACTCATGAAAAAGGAAGTCTGTTCCCCTGACTGACTGTGGCAGTGTTTGCAGCAGAGTAAAGCCTGTTCTCATAGTAATGTATTAGCTGATACAATTGTATATGGAGGTAAAGCAGAACATCCAGAATATGGATGTTCCTTTACCTATTTAGCTACTGTAGTGTAATGGTAGTAATATTTCTATTACAACTTCAGAGTGATAATAGTTTTCAAGTGCATGATTCCTACATTTTAGTTAGATATGTACCAAAACAAATTGATTCTTTGCCTTGGTCTTACGAAGTTACTTCAAAGCACTCAAAGGCTCTAAACCCAAGAAGTCTTAAGTTGCAAAATTGTCCGTGTGAGTAACAGAAATATGTACTGATGCTTTCGCTAATAGTGAGACTTGGCACAGTTACAGATTAGGAATTCTTTACCTGCTGCTCTGGGCTTTTTTTTGGAAAACAAAAAACTAAAAATATTTAATTAGTTTTATCATAGTGTTTGTTACTGTTTGGGATTCCATTATGGCTTTTATGAGTTTGGTTGTTTTTTTTTCCCTAACATTGAAATAAGAGTAATTTTCAAAATCTCTCATATTTTCTGTTTAACTTGAAAAGTATGTTCCAGAGTTCTTCTGGGATTAATCTGTAAATATTGTACTGTGTTGTGGTTCAAAGAGAGTGTTGTCTAACAGCTCATGTCACCATTCAGGGAGCACAGGAAAGGATAGACAGCTTGCGTCGGACAGGAGTCATCCATGAGAAACAGCCTGTTGTATCCGTGGAAAACTTCATTGAGGAATTGCTTCCTGACAAGTGAGAACATCAAATATATTGCTGGAGAGTCAGGAGTATTCTTTGTTGACTCAGAGGAGTTGGTGTCAGTATCACTCTGAGCAGAAGAAAGGAGATGGTCTGTCTTCAGTTTTGCTTTGGCAGATTTGATTTTGGTGATGATGTTCAGCAATTTGTCCAGACATCTTGAGACTTTTAATATATAAAAATCATTGTCAGGTTTTTCCAGATTCACAGTATAAAAACACAGTGAAGTTATACCAAACTGAAAAAATTAAGGAGCTGTGAAAGTTGGAATTTGGCTAGTGGTTTGTGCAGTCCTGTGTGCATCCTCTCTTCTCTTTTTCTGAAATTGCATCAGAAGGGATGTTGGGAAATACTCTGGGAGGAGCAGAACTGTTTTTCTGAATAAATCATTGAAGCAGTTGTTATAGCATTAGACATACCAAAAAATCTTCTGAATATAGAACATGAGTGATAAATACGTATATTTTTTAATTGTTAGGGAAGGTTATTTTAATGAGAAATGTTCTTTCAGAGATTGAATGAAAATTATAGCATAATAACTATGGCCAAAGGAATGTATCTGCATGCACACCCAACCCCTGCGCTTTTTTTGTGTCCTTGATTTGTAAGTTTCATATTTTTTATATATTTCTATGTATGTTATGTATTTTACATACATACACATGCACTATAATGTTATATATGAGAAAACTGATACATGCAAACTTTACTTGAAAAATACCAGAACGCTTTGGTGAGTCTCATTATGACATTATTACTGCATTTGAAGTAGATTTTGTGAAATGGTCATAATTTAACTGCTAATCTGTTGGTTTTCAGTTGCGTGATACTCAATACTCAGAAATAAAGTAATATGCATGTCGTTGCAGGTGGTTTGACATTGGATGTCTGATTATTGAGGATCCAGTTCATGGAATTCATCTAGAAACATTTACACAAGCAACACCAGTACCTTTACAATACGTTCTACAGGTGAGTTTTCAGTTTTCTTACCAATTAACAGTAAGATTTAAGTTTTAATTTTATTTATGATGTCAATTCTTACTGGCAGTTGCTCCACTTGAATGTTTTCATTTATGAAATGAGGATAAAAACTGTTTTTGAATCACGTTAATGTATTACCTAAAAGTTTTCAGGCATTTATGGCAAAGCATTTCTTGATCAAAGGTGTCATTCTGTGTCACTTTGGAGCACTGGTTTTACTTTCCTATTAAAAAAGAAGAAATACTGATCAAGAAGAAATCAACCAGAGAGAATTACTTCCTCAAAAAGGAAATACAACAATTCCCTATGAGCATATAGACTCCCACCTAAACAGCAAGGCTGATTTCCTCTTCTGAGTGTACTATTCTGACAAGGATGTAAAATATCTGAAATCAAAAGGCTTCAATCTAGGAAATATCATGGTTCATCTCATTGAAAATAATGTACAGCTCTTAAATATCCCCAATAGAAGGTTTTCATGAGATGGTTTATGTTTCTCTGGACGCAGGCTGGGAATTACTCCAGTCACTGCATGTCTCCTGACAGCAGATATGAGTCATACATTAATTAACTCTGGTCTGAAAATTTGTTTTAAATAAATGTTTCTATGAAGAATGTAAAACCAAAATTGTTTGGGGTTTGATCCCTGGGGGTTGTTTTCAGAAAACAAATAGTAACTGTTAATTTTTTTTTTTTCAGTAGTACCCATTTCAATAAGTGAGCATTTGTGGGATTGGTTCTTATTTTCCTGAGTTCTTGCAGCCTTGAAAAGCTGATGAATGGCAAAACGAGAAATATTGCTCTGTCTCTGTAGTTTTCCAAAATGCTTTTCAAAAACAGTGGAGAAAGACGTGAAGCTACAGGAAAAAATGTTCAAGGGTCCCTTTCAAACCCAAAGTATTCTGCATATTCTGACAAACCTATGCTGTTGTAGTTGCAAGACAGTAGTTTTAGGAAGGGCACAGTACACTAATGCTCTTGATCTGCTGTACATGCACTGGAAACGGACTAATTCAAAATCTGTATGAAGGAGGTGGTTGCCTGTGATGAGCATCAGACCAGAGAAATGCAGTGATGCTTCCCCCACTGTTTCCCTTCTGGTTCCAATTGCAGAATGAGGGCTACAGATGTCATTTACCTGGACTTCTTGACACAGTCCCCCACTCAAAATTAGAGATGGATTCAATGGATGGACTGTTCAGTGGATAAGGAATTGATTGAACAGTCACATCCAGAGGGTCGTGGTCAGTGGCTCAGAGTCCTGATGGACATCAGTGACCAGTGGTGCCCTCAGGGGTCTGTATTGGTACCTATGTGATTTAACATCTTCATTAATGACATGGATGAAGGGACTGAGAGATCCCTCAGCAGGTTTGCAGGGACACCAAACTGAGGGTGCAGTGACACACCTGAAGGACGGGGCCATCCAGAGGGACCTGGACAAGCTCCAGAAGCAGCCCCTGGGAATCTCCTGAGGTTTAACAAGGCCAAGGGCTGGTCCTGCACCTGTGTTGGGGCACCTCCAGAATCAATCCAGGCTGGGGATGAGCAGATGGAGCAGCCCTGGGGAGAAGAACTTGGGGGTGCTGATGGGGGAGAGGCTGGACATGGCCCACCACAGAAATCCCGTGTGCCCTGGGCTGATCCCACAGCGGGGGCAGCAGGGCAGGGGGGGATTCTACCCCTCTGCCCCCTCAGGTGAAACCCCGCCTGCAGAGCTGCCTCCAGCCCTGGGGGCCCAGCACAGCAAGGACATGGAGCTGCTGGAGTGAGTCCAGAGGAGGCACCAAGATGATGAGAGGGATGGAGCAGCTCTGCTGTGAGGAAAGACTGGGAGAGTTGGGAGTGTTCAGCCTGGAGAAAAGAAGCTTTGGGGTGACCTAATTGTGGCCTTCCAGGACGTGAAGGGGCTACAAGAAGGATGGAGAGGTCTATTTACAAAGGCCTGGGGTGACAGGACAGGAAGGAATGGTTTCACACTGACAGACAGAATGTTTAGCTTAGGTAGTAGGAAGAAATTGTTACCTGTGAGGGCGATGAGGCCCTGGCACAGGTTGTCCAGAGAAGCTGTGGCTACCTCATCCCTGGAAGTGTTCAAGGCCAGGTTGGATGGGCTTGGAGCAACCTGGTCTGGTGTAAGGTGTCCCTGCCCATGGCAAGGGAGTTGGAACTATGTGCGCTTTAAGGTCTCTTCCAATCCAAACCATTCTACAATTCTGTGAAATGACACTATATAATCCCTTTGTGATCTCATGCAAATCTCTCAGCCCTTCTTTTCTGCCAGGCTCAGCTTTCTCCTTGCATTTGGCTACTTGCCTGCTTCAGAGGGACATTTTAACTGTTTTTAAAGCTTTTGGAGGGTATGTATTGTATAAATACATACTGTTATTGATTCCATCTATTGGCTACTTTATAAGAGAATGGCAGTATGTCTTTACTGTCTTAAGCTTTGCATTTTAGTTTATACTCTTCAGATGTTGCTTGCATCATGATACATAGAAATCCAAATAATTTGCTTAGCAAATTATGGGGCAGTCTGAAATCTGATTCTGATACCCTTTGATTTGCCATGTAAGTCTGTTGATATAAGAATGATCACTTGTGAAAGTTGGTGAAAATAGAAGTAAAACTACTAATTTCAATCTGTCTAAGTAATCCGTTCTCACAATGTTGCACAGGCCAAGAGTCTCACTCCTGAGGACTACAATCTGAGATGGTCAGGCCTGCTGGTGACCTTGGGCGAGGTGCTGGAGAAGAGTGTCGTGAACGTGAACAGGACAGACTGGCATGTGGTGTTCACGGGCATGTCCCGCCGGCAGATGATCTACAGCGCGGCCAAGGCCCTGGCAGGGATGTACAAACAGCAGCTGCCACCCACGACCATGTGAGACTGGCTGGTCTGTCAGAGCAAGGAGTACTGGGCTTGGTTCTGAAGTTGATATGAAGGCTACACGCTCTTAATTCGCAGTGAATGCAACACACATTTGTAATCTTAACTCTAAACTGCTTCTAATTTTTGAGAAGCGAAGGTGATTTCTGGTAGTGGAAGTGAGCAATTACATTTTTTGGCTATTATATGATTTCCAGTATGATTCACAAAGCAGGAAATTGAGACAAATGCATATATTTATAACCAGTACAAGTAGCATTACAATTTTTCAAGTGTAACATGCTATGATTTGACACCTTACTAGACATTTGCTGAGATACTTTAGTTAGTATACTTTTGAAAGGGGATATTTGTTTAGCTGTTTCTATTATATTAGTAATATAAACATGTTGACAGCATAACATGTATATTATATATATGCATTTCAATCCAGAGAGACTACCTTCTGTATTACATGTTATACTGGGGCACGTATTTAGGGGATACTTAAGACCTCATGAGTTTGGTGTCTGTATATAGTTCTCAGGAGTGATACCAAGTAGTTTCTACAGCACATAACAGTGAGGTGCTGAAGAGCACAAATCCATGCCCTGTTAGCTGAAGTCTTTGCTAAATAGTTCTGAATTCTCATTTTCCATGCTGCATCTTTTTTTCTTTTTTTATGTAGCAGTAATGAAATTCGTGGCCAGTTGAAACACCACAGACAAATTTCGAGTTGCTTCAGTGGGTTTTATATCAGGTACCGCATATGCCACATGAAATCATCTCAGCAGTTTCAATAACATTGTTTACTCCAATGCTTCCAAACTTCACATTTTATATGGAATTACGTAGTTTATCTAGTTACAGCTGTCAGCAATTTGATTATGGAAAATGGTGATGTGTGTATCACTTGCTTTGCTAGCCTGGGTTTCTTAAACACTTTGAAGTCTTAAAAGCTTTCTTGATGTCATGAACTCACTGTCTCTCATATAAGTTTTTGGTGTGTCTGACGTTTTTCATGGCTGTAAAGGTCCTCCATCAATGCTCATGCAATCTTAAAATCTGTATTTAGAAATATGGAAGTAATTGTGAAGAAAATATTTTGGTAACACTTTTTTAAGAAACAAAGAATAAACAAATACTTTTTGTTTGCCTTAAGCAGTTTTTCAGCTTATATTGCTCTGCCTTTACCTTTATTAGATGCTTTCAAAGAGCATTTTTATATACAATATACTTTTAAGCCAGCTCATGATTGTACCCAGTGGAAATCTATCTATGTCCAAGTATTTGACCTTAATTGGTTTACTCTGTAAAGTAGTTGAATAGATGTTTTCAGCTTTTTACCATCTGCTGGGTTGTGTTGCGGGCAATAATACAAGAGGAAGTTCAACAGGTAAGACATTGACATCCTGTTTTAAATTTATATTGAGATCAGCTTAGAAAAGCAGAGACACATTTGGACATGTGACTTTTATTACATGTACAGACAATTCCCAATTGCTTCATCACTGTAGATACAGCTGCAGAAGCCATTTCTGCTACTTAAAGAGGGGGTAGGTTTGTTCAAATATTAGTGTCATGAACAAAAGATCAAGAAAGCTACTACATATACTGCTATTATACTACATATACTACTCTTTTTAGGTGTGTCTCACATAGATGCAGCCAAGTTTTTTGATTTTGCATTACTTTAAAAGAGATCTACCTGGTCCTTAAACTAAGGTTCTTCAAAATGTTGGAGATCGTTCATTAACTGCACTTGTTGCTGGTTTTTGTACACTTAAGGCAATGGTTCTTTAAGTCCCCTGTGCATTGTACAATGGCAGGGTTTTAACTGTTATTGTGAGAAAGGAGCAGAGCAGTGATAATTCAGGCTGAACTTTAGAAGGTATGTATAGGCTGATGTGACATGGGTGAGCCTTCAGAAATATCAGCACAAGGGTTTTGTATATAGGAAGAATACTGGATTTTTTTTTCTGAGGCTGAAAATTAATTTCAGGACTATGTATATACATGTACCTGTATAAGTACTGTGTAGAACTGACACACCCTCTCTGCAAGATTTGATATATGAATTTTAGGCATGGTGTCACAAGTAGGGATTTTGAAGGAGACTGTGACTGGGTTATTGTTAGAGAAGAGCTGAAAATTTAAGTGTGCAGAAACCACTTTGCTCAAATGAAACTTTTTCTCCTGGACTTCATTTGCAAATTCTAATCAGCTTTTTGGTACCGTTATCCCAGTTCTTAGTCTGTGCCCTTAGAGATTGACTTTGCAAGCAGCTGTAGTGGCTTAAGGTGTTACAGCCCTGTCAGTGGAGGTTTCTGCCCCTGCAGATTTTCTTGTGGAATTAGCTCTGAATGCTAATTATGAGCTGAAGTTACCTGTGACTGCTCTCCCACTCTTGTTTTAACAGCAGCAAACCTGAGTTGAAAAGTTTCTGCTCTGGGCCTGGCCTTAGTTTTTTCATCACAACACTACTCAGAACATTGTGGCTCTGTCAGAAAAATCCTGGTTATGAAGTTCCCCGCACAATTTTGTTGAAACTAGTCCGATAACTTCCACCCAGCTGCCCCTCTCAAAGTTTTCCATGCACATCTGTTGAAGAAGGGATGGGGCATGTGGGGTCTGATGAAGCAACAAATACAGTTTAGTGGAACATATTGGTCCAAAAACAGAACAGCCTCAATGACTGCTCATGTACAGAGCACATGAGCAGAGTATTTTCCTTTAATTGAAAGCTTTTAAAATTATCTTCCAATTCCAGTCTTGTCTTTAGACATCTCAATTTGGTCAAGATAGTGAGGAATGGCAGAAGAGGGCAAAAATAAGAATGAAGTATGAATGGATGTGAAGGCGATCAGGAGAGTACCAGAGAAGTAGGAATGTCTAGTGAGCAGGTACAGGAGCTTAATTGTATTTAATGCAATGTCCTGGATGCAGGAAGTGGTAGAGGGTAGTTGAGAAATCAGGTGGGAATATGGAATAACTTGGGTCTGTCTGCTGCTGTTTGTTTTGGCCAGCTTTAGAAGACCCCAGCATATACATGGATATCTTGCAGCAGAGAGGTTTAGCCCAATCGTGATTCAGATTCTTCAGGATATTTGTAAAAGCAGCTTTTCTTTCCCCATAATAGTATAATGTGAGGTAAACATTGCAGATGGAGGTAAGACATTATCCCTGAACAGTTGACTCTGAAACAGAACTCTGTGTGTCTAGTTTACAATTACATTTAATAATTTTGACCAAGCAAATTTAAAAAAAGGAAAAAACATTGTTCTTCATTTCCTACTGTTAACAGACACAGGAACAAGTAGTAAATGAGAACATTCTGTATCCCATCAAAAGTTGTTAATAGACTTGAAAATCAGAATAAAATAACTTCAAACTTGGTTATTTTTCCAATGTGTATTTTAACTTCAACAATTAAGTCTGTCTGTAACTTATCAAAAACTCAAATTTTGACATCCTGAATCCCTGAACCGTTTGGCTTTGACTTCATGGTTCTGTTCCATCCATAGTTACGCAACTCAGGAAAAGCTAGTTGCATAAAAGCAATAGTGTATAGAATTACAGTTTCTAAAAGGAAAAAAATGCCAATTGGTTTGATTTATCATCTCATTGTGCAGAATTCTGTCAAAGCTTTAGATACTCCAGCCAGCTGATTTTGTAAAGCAGCCAGACTATGACCTGGCAATTAAATTGTGAATACACAGTTTTGCAGAGGAATAACAGATCCAAAACCACTCAGCAGCTTCTTCTGAGCTAACACAGGGATTTGTCATGTACTGGAATCAAAGGAGATGCAGCTCTAAGGTTACAAGCAAAATTAAAATATTTGGTATTGAGCAAGTGATTTCCAACTATCTTTACATTCTACGAGTGTGAGTGAATGTGGCACTGGCCTTCTCTGTAAATTAGAGAAGTACCTCATAGTAGAGGAGAAAGCAGATGGGTTGGTTTTGCAAGATTTGGTGGCTTTTTTAATGCAAAGTTACATGGAATTCTGTGTAAAGCCTGGAGTTTTTTGATATTAATCACAAAAACACGCTTCTTGTTAAAGGATACTCCATGACAGGAGTGAATGTAATTTTTTTTTTTTTTTAAATAAGAATTATAGTGTTGGAAATTGTTGATCACAGCTTTCAAGCATCTTTTATTCTACTTGGTCAGATCAGCATGTATTTGAAAATGCTCAAACTAAAAAATAGCTAAGGTAGTAACTTCGTTGTGAATAATGCAGTGAACCACTCAGTCATATTCCTCCCTCAGTTTAGTCTTGAATTCCATCAAAAGTTCCCTGAGTTTTAAAAGCTTTCACTTGACTTAGTTTGAGTATATGTTCATGCTTGTGCAGTTCAGTTGGTTCTGCTCAGAATTTTGTAGGAGAATTTCCCTATAAAACACAGTTCTCCTCTAACAGGATACTGAGGGATCATTTTCATGATCTAATTCTTACAGTTGCAGGAGCAGCTGTTCCAAGTAAGGGGTGAATATTCTGCAACTTCTTGGAAAAGTGCAGGAAGTTGCATTTTGTATAAGGAATAGTATTTTGATCAGTAGTGGGATTCTGAAATAGCTGTGGCATCAAACAAAAACCAGCAGATTTAGAAAGAATTCCCAAACAGACCAGTTATCCTAAAATCAGTGCTGGTCTTGGGACGTTGTTCTGGGATAAGTGACTACAGTTATGCACATGCAAGGCAGATTCTAGGGGTTTTGTTAAAATGTACTAAAACTAAAAATCAACAAACTTGTGTCTGCAGGGGAAAGAACAGGAGAATTTTTCTTTTTAATATAGTAGGAATTACTGTAATCAGTAATCACACTGTTACATAGTTCTTTTTGCCTGTAGTTCTCAGAATATTTGCGAAAAAGCACATCCCAATAAAAGGTCGTAAGCATTATAATGAAAACATTTTAAGTTCTCTCTGTCCTGTGTAGATGCAGACTTTTGTATCTGAAGAGCTTATTTTCTTGGACATTGCAAGTCAGTAATACCAGACACGCAAACCCCTAAATTGATAAATATAATAAATTAAAATTATTACTAGGGATAAGATACTTTGATTTTCTCTTTTTTGGAGTGCTACAAATCACATGAATCTCTGAGGGGAGTTTCTCTTATCACCAGTGACAGCCAAAGTATTAAGTGAGCACCTCTGAACCACTGTAAACTTGGGTGTGAGCTCCCAATTTCTTGTTGTTTTCTGAGTTCTTAAATGCAAGCAAGACAGCAAAAGCTGATTCTGCAGTTGCCAGGCTGACTATAAGTGGATTTTGGAGCTTGTTTCTCATTGCCATTCGCTCTGTAATAATCTGTCCATGGTGGGAGCAGCACCATAGGAAGGTATAGAAGACTTAGGAAACGAAGTGAGAAGACTTAGAAAATGAAGTGTGTAGCACAAAACTGAAGAGGGAAAGAGTGCTGCCTTTTCTTAGATTTTTTTCTAGTGGTTATGTTTCTCCTGATGTGAATGGGAAAGTTTTATCATTCTGCCCACAAAAGAACTTTGTAACATTTTTTAATGATTTGTTTAATTTGTTCTGTTAATCTGTTTCCTCTTGCTGCAGATTGTTTATATTACCTGTACACAATTTGCTCTCTATTTTCTTGATGCAGAAGCCCACCTCTCCCATTTTTGTTGAATTAAACGTGACTGGTTTTAGTCAAACTCTCAGTTCTTTGCCAGTTTAAATCAGTTGTTTTATTAACACAAGTGGAAACTTAGCAATTCATGCAGGCTGATAAGGTAGCTCCATGTTTTCATAATTTTGATTTGATTTCTTTTAGAGACAGCAGGTCATAAGAGCTGTTTTCTGAGTTCTGCAGAACTGGATAATACCAAACCATTGGTCTCATACACTTAATTAAACAGGAAAAAAGGTTTCTTTGCAGTTTGTTTTGACTTTTGAGTTATGGCAAAACGAACAAACTGTGTTTGAATCCACATATTGAAAAAAGGTTTAATAGAACCCACAAAAACCTAAGCTTGCAAATTTGTCATAGTTTTGAGAATTGAGAGTTCATATACCGCCCACTATTTTGGAGCCTTAGAAATTATTCTGGCTGCTCATTGGCTGTGATCAAATCCACCCTTCTACTTGGACCTCATCTGGCATTAAAAAGAAGAGCTGAATAAACACTGTTTTGTGAGAGCAGATCTCTCCAGGCAATGCTGACACATTTTCTGGATGAACTTGAGGAGAACGTTCTGCCTCTGCTACATCCTCCCAACTGATGAGTTGCTTAAATACCTTTAAATTTTGTTTTTTTAAGAAAGATGTATTGTTGCTGAGGTGGTTTTCTTAAGTCATTGGAAGTATCTGCTCTGAAAATTGCTCCTTGTAGGGGGCAATTCTAGCAAATTCCTAGTAACCTGGTTTGAACAAAACAGTTACAGTAATATAGTTTCAGTGCATATCTTTTTATTTACTTAGGTCTGTATATTGAGAGGGAAAAATTTCTTGGTAAAGAATATAACTGTGTCTTCTACACATCCTCAGTGCAGTGGGTGCTGTAGGAAAACAGCTCAGAGGCAGAAAACATGTCGCCTGTAAGCAGTCACAAACACCAAATAGCTTTGCACACTCTACCAAGGTATTTCCTTAAAAGTGACTTGCAAAGGTCTTGCAAAAGTATCAGAACAGGGAGAAGTTGTATCTGTCGATGTGTTATTCATAACTATTTATTCACGGTCATCCCATTTTTCTGAGTGCTTTAACACATTAAAGAACTTATATCTCTTTCTCTGGCAAAGAAATATTATAAATGAGAATCACAAAATCACAGAATCATTTAGGTTGGAAAACACATCCAAGATCATCAAGTCCAACCTGTGACCAATCGCCACCTTGTCTAAACCACAACATTAAAGGCCAAGTCCAGTCATTTCTTGAGCCTCTCCAGGGATGTTGGGTCCACACCCTCAATTGAAAGAAACCAAATTGTTTGGCATTCCTCTGGTGGGATGTGGGGCTGTTTGCTGAGCAAGTTAGATCAGAGTATGCATTGCAACAGCAACTCCTTCCAGTTTGACCGTGCCAGTGTTTAGGTGATGGCAAGTCCCCATGGACCAGATGCTGGTATTCAGTTTCTCCCCTCTGTTCATGCATTTTCACAAGCAGCCTTAGTGCTGTAGTTCTGTATGAATTTTCTGGATTGCACATGCCATGTACTGGGCTGAAAGTGTTTGGTATTTTACATTTTGAATATGTAATCCCTGACTGTGTGTTTTCTTCTGTGTACTTCTCTAAAAAGGGACATGAGCTACTCTGGAAACTGTCCTGTAATTATCCACTCAAGGGATACCAAAGCCAAAAAAAGAAAGGGAAAACACAGGAGGTGCCAGACTACCCTGTGAATGTTTGCAGGTGGTGCAGCTCTGTGTTTTTGGTGTGCCTTCCATAAATCTGCCATGATCTGCTACAGCCAAAGCCAAGGACAGGTTTACAGCAGTTCATTTGGGTGGATGTTGGTGCTATTTCACAACCACAGCTGATGAAAAATTCAAAATAAAACACAAGGCATGTGATACGTGTAGATACTATCTGAACACATAGTCTTTGTGACTTATGACTTCCTCACACTGGTTATGCTGTCTCAAAATGAAACACTGCTGGTTTCATTGTTTTTCTGGGTTGGTCATGTCAGTATTGTTTTAACCACAACGCTTCTGTGGTTCTCTCTTATATGTACAGTTTCAAACTCATGTTATCTGCAAACCTCTTTAACAAGCAGCAGAGCACAAGAAAAAAATAATTTTTGTGCTTCTGACAGATTTGTTCAGCAGTGCCTTTAACCCGTGTTCTGATTTGTAATATTTACACCATCCTAGTCTTTATTTCTGTTAATTTCTCTTCAACTTAGTGTGATTCACTGAAGCTTCCTTACCTCACCTTCATTTCTTTTAATTCTCTTCTAGTTTTATTGGCTTTCTTTAATTTTAGGCAAGTCCTGCTGCTGTGGTAGGTCTGTCATCCTCTCCGTGGATGCTGTTAAGGAGTCTTGATTCTTCCAGCCTTTGACAATGCTTCTCTCTATCTTATTCTTCAAAGAACAACTCAACACTTCAAAACTGCCAAATAAGCAACAACATAGACTCTGAGGATTTAGCGGATTCATGTAGATCTGTAGATGGGTTTTGAGCCATATTCTTTATTTCAGTTTATTTCATAAACTTAAGCAGAAAAATGAATTTTGGTGTTTTCTGAATGATTCTTGTATCATTCTTGGAAAATAAGGGTGGAAGAAAGGGTCAAATTTTGGTTTGGGTTTTTTAGGGTTTTTTTGTTGAGTTACAGCTCAACTGAGGAGCAAGGAGAACTAACAGCTGTACATACTGCAGTACATATCAGCTGCAGAGTCAAAACAAATACTCTTGTGAACTAAATCTTCATAAACACAGAAGTATAAATGTAAAAGAAAACCACAAAATGCCATTACTCACAAAGATGCAGATACAGCTCTATCTAAACTACATCTGCTAGAAAATGGGAGGCCTTAGCATGAGAAGCATCATTCCTGTGTTACTCTGTTAAGAGGGTGATGCTGACCAGTGTCAGAAATAGGATGCATAGGTAGCGAAATAACTTGACCCAGCATGGCTGTTGTGACCTTACATTACAAGAGAACCACTGGCAAAATGCTCTAAAACTCTCTGGAGAGGTTGTGTAAGAAATTGGGTTTTCTAGTGTTTCTCCATAATTTTCTTAAAAACTAGAAATAAAATATTCATCCACAATAGAATTAGTGGATGAATAAGAACTATGTCCTAGTATATCCTAGTTCTTATTCATGACTGACTAGGAAGATGATAGTTTCTTGTTTTCTTCAACTCTACTGCACTCTCCACAGCATTATCTGTACCTGCAAGACCACATACTCTGGCTTACTGTTATTTCTTTCTCTCGTTTCTTCTGAAATCAAATGCCTCTTGGCTTCCTCCTGCTCTTTTCTCATGTTCACCCTTTTGTCTGCTGCTATCAAGTTAACCACGTCTGAAATATTTGGATTTTACCACTGGATACCAAATAGCCTCACTCTTTCCGTTTGTTCCTTTTCTTGTTTGCCTGACAAGGTAGCAAGAAAGCAACTAATTAAAAGAAGTCTGTGCCCCAGAACCTGTTCCCTAGGTGGTATCTGATTCCCCTTAAATCTAAGATTCCTGCAGGGTTGCACCATGAGTGAAGATTCAGTGGTGGACTGGAGAGTAGCCTTGTTACTGGAGGATCAAGTAAAGAAATGGTTCCTTATTTAGATTTTGGAGAATGAACTCTAGGAGGCAATTCTGCTCCACTTATTTTATTGTGGGGGAGAACAATTTTAGCCCATCTGCTGAACACCAAATCAAGATCTCAATTTTTAGCAGTGCCAGTTTTCTAAAGCAGTCTAAATTGCAATTATTACTTGTCTTACATTGTCAGTTACCAGCTTGCTAAGCAAAGGAAAATACAGTCCAGCCCTCTAAATCACTAAAATAAATGCCTATGGAAATATATCCATCAGTCAGGACTGCTAAAAGAAAAGGTACTGGCAAGCATTCAGAAGGTACCAGAAAAAATCAGTGTATAAAATAAAATTAGGATGTGCAGGGCTGATATTAAACACAGGCAAGCAGATTGAGTTCAGTGACTTCACAAGAAATTTTGTGGTGGAAGAAAAAACTGTGAAACGGATGAAGAGCATGAAAAAGAGTTGTGGCCCTTGTCTTCTAGACTTAAACTAGGCATAGAATCATCAAATTCTTAAGGTTGTAAAAGACCTCGAAGACCATCAAGTCCCACCACTCACTCTGGAACCCACACGGGTTGAAATCCAGGCTCAGGAAAGTTGAAATGTCTGGTGACCACAAAAAGAGCAGCATATCCCCCAAATTCTATCTCAAGGTTAAACATTTTTGTGTGTGTTTATGTATGTGTGCATGTGAATATGTGTGTGTGTGTATATATATGAATGTATATTTATATATGAATGAAAGATAAAACAAATTTCTTGAAGAAGGAATCTGTAGCCTTGTCCTTGATGAAAGACACTGAAAATATAATACCAAGTAAAAGAGGATGATGTTTTCACACCATTTTAGAAGATTAGAGGAAACAGGACTCCTATCTGTGTATTTTAACCTAGGGGGAAGACGTGGCAGCCAGCAGAACAGAACTCAGGCATTAAGGATGATCTTAATAGCCAAGAAGATCTTAACTGCCAAGCACCTTAGCAGTGTGATTTTTTTTTTTCCTCCTCCAAAGTTGGTTTCATTATTGCAAATACAAGATTTTAAGGGAATACTGTTTTGTCCCTAGACAAAGCTCCTCCTCAGTGCTCTGGGGTATCCGGATGGAAACAGTTCGTGTCTCCACATGATGGCGCTGGATGTCTGGGGACTGCAGAGTCCAGCCCTGGGAGGAACAAATGGCTTTCATTAACCAGGAGTAGGGAATCCAAGTGACACATGAATGATATGGTTTAAAAAACTGAGCTCTCCTGGTCAGTCATGACTGAACAGAAGAGCTCAGTCATGGTAGTGAAAAAGTACATTTAGATCCTTTCAGTGCTAGAAGTGCAGTTAACTTCTGCCTAAAATTTTTATGTATTTCAAAAATTGTTTCCCACTGGAAATGTTGCCCTTGAAACAGTACCTCAGAGATAACTCAGGTGTCAGTTCTGTTTCCTGGAGTTTGAAACCAAGGTCAACTACTTGGAAAAAGTACTCTTGCAGTTTGATGGGAATGTAGTAAAGCTCTATTGAATATTTGTCTTAAATTGATAGGAAATGTTCAGAAAGTTTTGGACAAAAACCTATGAAAATACTGAAAGAATTTGGGCAGGTATTTTTATTTAGGCTAGAGAGTCTCATAAATAAGACTAGCTTTTTAGTCAGTTTTGCTTTATAGCAAAAAAATTATTAAAAAACCTGATAAAAAAATCAAAAGGATCATTCCCCCAAGATGACACATCGTCCTATCTGCAGGAAGTATCACAATCTCCTATCCTTCCTTCTGTGAGGGAATCTTTCTCTAAATGTTTCTTTAATTTAAACATTCAGCTCTTTTCGAGGCCTCAGAAATGTTTTTCTTCTTTTTTTTTTTCTTTGATTTTTTTATTCTTGGAGGGATGTTTTAGCACGTGGTCCAAAGAAATGAAAACTCACTGGATCAATAGTGGTAGAGAGGTATTTTTTAAATTGAAGGAATTAATTAAAACAAGCTATTTTTAATAGTCCTCTGTATTTCAGATTTAACCTACTCCTTGGAGATCCTTAGGCAGTTTAAATGCATATAAAGTCAGGGAAGCATAATTAATCTCTGAGTATTTATCTGAGTGTTTATCCCATTGTTTCAGGTTTCTGCAGAAAATACTGGAAGTAATTCTTTTTTATTGGAAGGTCTTAAATAGAAGCTGTGGCAGATAAAATTCATGTCCATAATTTCCTCTAGCCGTATTTATCAGTATCTCTTCTTTCTCTTCCAACTGGGACTCCAAACTGCTATGAAAATGTCACCTCACTATGTTGATAGTGCTCCTCCTGTAAGTTAAATAATTTGCAAAATTTTTCTCTGTTATACAACAGACATCTTTTCTTACATTTTCAACTAGATGGAAAAGAAAATATCAGTTTTCAGTATTTTTAAAGAAATATGTATGGAAAAAGGCAAGTCTGTTAAGTATCTCAGTGTTGTGGCTCTTTGCAAAGACATTCAGATAGTGTGCATTCAGCTGATTCATTTCAGCTAAATGTTCATTTCATGTACAACTACATCTAGTAGATGTAGCTGGTGATGTTATTGAGATCTCAGTCATCAGCCTAGGATAATAATTTCTCTAATAATCAAGAAGTAAATGTCAGGTTATTTTCTGTTCCTAGTAGCCCCGTGCCTATTCCTGTTCAGGAGTGCACACTTGAGTACAAAACTTCCATTTCCTCCAGTGTGGACCAGAACTCTTGGGAAACAACACAAAGACAAGTGTTTCAAGCCCACATCTGTGGCACTTACTCCCATCCTGTCACTGCTGTGGAAATACAAGTCTGTGGTTAACAAACAGCCACAATGCAGTCATTGAACAAGAGGAAGCACCTGGATCCAAGCACAGCCGGTGAGGAAACGTGGTTCATGTCCATTCCAGGCAAATGCTGAGAGGCTGCCTGACCTCAAAGAGTTTGTGAGGAAACCCTCTTTATTCCCAACACCATCCTTAGGGGAAAAATGTCAGTGGTCACACACTGGGGAATGGATCTCCCCAGAAGGGGCACCCTTGCCCACCAATTCAGCATGTTCACATTGCAGGATTTTTTAATAAAATTTGAACGCAGTATTCTGTACCTCACCTTGAATTTAATGTTGTATTACTTTTAACATATTAAAAAATAGAACAATCTGAATTTCAGTCCATTTCATAGGGAAAAAACTGGGAAAATCAGGCTAATTAGTTTGTTATGCAGAGGCACCTAGGATAGACTGTGAGAGCTAGGGAGGACAGCTCCTAATGCTAAAGTTCTGACTACATTTTATAAAGTTAGAACTGTGTTTATTTCCAGTCTTCTTGTGTTTTCACAGA